CTCAAAGATGTGTAGTAATTTAAACAACTGCAATAGAATAGATGCAAGATAGATCAATTATATGCCATACTGTGGAACATTTCATAGGCAAACCCCTCCACAAGAAAAGTTAAATGTGCAAAGAATGTCCTGTCCAATTCATGCTTGTGTAACATTCAGACAAGCATATAACTGACACAGATTCAATTCTATTATTATTTTAAAATGTATAATGTTCTCTGTTTTGTTCTGTATCATTGGTTTTAGGATTGGGCGTCTGTTCGATGGGACGGAGCCCATTGTCCTGGACAGCCTAAAACAGCATTATTTCATAGATCGAGATGGTCCCATGTTTCGTTACATCCTGAACTTTCTGCGCACCTCCAAACTGCTGCTCCCTGAGGACTTCAAAGTGAGTTTCTGTCTATCAACAGGTACTAACATGTCTCGGTAACATTTAGCTATTTCTTATGTTTACTACAGTGATACCGCAAAAATAACACAATACTGCCTTTGATAGCACTCAAGTAAAAATGTCATCTTCCATTCAACAATGTTAATATTGTTCAGTCACTTTGAACACCTTATAGATGCCTGCCTTTAACTCATAACTTAACTTTACTGTATTTTACGGGCTATAGGGCGCTTTGGATTATAAGGCGTCATTAAATGGTCTATTTTCAAACTTTTTTCACAAACAAATCGCACCGGACTTTAAACGAAACACAAAAATTAGATGGCTCAGTCGGACTTTGTTTAGTGCGTTCACGGTGACTCTGGGCTTTGTTCAGTTGTGGCGTGTAGGGAGGGTGCTGTCTGGGACCGCTGGATTGTCGGCGTGTTCGCAGTGACTCAGTTGTTCAGTTGTGTCTAGAAGTGGCACATTGCACTCACTTTTTCGGTTTGTTCCTTCGTTCCGTTCCTCGTCCGTGTGGAGTGATAAGTGTGGCTGTGGGTGTTTTTCTCTACGCAGTCGCTGTCTGCTCTGTGCGTGTTTGCGTGTGTTGCGGGTGGTGTGACTTTGTAGTTTACTGAAGTCGTACTGGGACACTCGAGTGGATTCATGTATAGGGCTCTCTGGATTGCGGGGCACGCAATCGTTTTTTGATGCGGTTGGAGGTTTTTTTTCTGGTGATAAAATGGTGATTATCTTTGTTGGCAATTATCAAAATTATATAAAATGTCTCATGAACGATTATTCACTGCATTTTGACTGCAGGCCCAAGCATCAACAAATCTATTTGGCTCAACCTGTTTACAGTGTTTAGTGGGGGTGTGTGATATGCCAAAAAAGTATTATCAAGATTTTCCAGGGCTTAGATCATCATTCATGAAAACAAAGAAGCTTTATACTGTCTTTCAGATGCAACTACAACTGCCCGTTCTGACAGTTCACACTAAACACTTCCACTCACTCAGATCACGACAGAGGTTGACTAATAGGAGTAGGTGGGGAAAAGCAAAATAGCATACCTGCCCAGGCATCAAATCATGAGTAGATATAGCATATACAGCATAGATTAGGGCTGTAGTCTTTTGGCCATTATTTTATTTCATTTTAAACAACTTTTCTGAAGAGAGTGACATTTTTCAAAACAATAAAAGGTAACATGGTGAACTAAATACTCTGTTAGCAGTTAATACCCATGTAAGTAAAATGCCATCTCTTTAATTATTTTGAGAGCTTTAGCAGAACCCATGCCACACCCCGTTTTAGTTGATTAATCAATATACAGGTCTTTAGGTGAACAAGAATAGAGTTGGCAGACTACACCCCTAGACCCACCGTTTAGTTCAGATGTATAGTATGAAATATGACTACTCTACTATGTCTACTCTCTGTGCTCCTGACCTGTGTATGTCCTCAGGAGTTCTCCGTGCTGTATGAGGAAGCGTGTTTCTTCGAGCTGGCCCCGCTGCAGGCAGAACTAGAGGTGTGGAGGGCACAGAGACAGGACGGCCCACTGTGGGTGGACTGCGCTGTGGTTCATGTGAGTCCTGGTGTGGGGGAGAGGGTCAGTGTGAGCGCTCAAAGGGACGTGCTACAGGAGGTGTTCCCCGAGGTGCAGGACGTTCTTAGGAGGGAGGCCAAAGACACCTGGAACCAAAGTGCAACACACGTCGTGAGGTTTCCGCTCAGCGCCTACTGTCAGCTCACCTCTGTGCAGGTATACCAAAATCTGATTATAATCTGATTTCTGGACCTTTAAGATTATTTAAATGACATGTAAACTGCAAATCTGATGAGTAAGCTTACCTTTGTCATTTTAATAATCTCATAACTCCAAAACTCTGATTATAATAATAACAACCAAGTATAGTAGAGGTAGAGGTTTGGTGCAACAGTTGTGTTCTCACCAACTCTCCTGTGTAAAACCCATTCTGGTCTGACAGGAAGTCAGTACTATTTTTAAATCTTTGAAAAGCTATTTGGCTGCAGAAGTTAGAATTAAAATGTATTTTGTATTCTGTTACATGGTCCAATCAGGGTATTATATTGTGGATACTTTTATTTTAAATTGCATATAGTCTAATATTATATAGTTATATAATCTAAAAACACAACACATTTGTTTTAAATTTCTAATTAGAGAAGGCCAAATCACACACACCAACTACTATAGTGTAGTTTGAAATTTTACTTACATCCAACACCAGGATGCACTGATTTTAGAAAAGTTACTTCATTCTGAATACAGCCAAATGAAAGAGTAATTGTACCAGAATAAAGTGAATCGGCTTGTATTTAGTTACTAACCAACACTGTTTAAAACTAGCAACATAATACTTTTTTTTTTTAACTTGAATGCAATTCATATACAACTTTTATACCAAGTGTAGGCCATTTTTGGAATTGTTACACTACATCTGAATTCAAATGTGTTTATTAAAAAAAAAAAAAAAAGTTCATCATGCATTATTTCTACTGAGCACACTTTATCACAGCAGGTTTATTGATAAAAAAAAAAAGATCCAGGAGTGGCCCTCTTTTGATGACATTAAAGGCATTTTATCAGAACCCTGTCACAGTTGCTTTACCTCAGCTTACTCTGAGCTGAACATTATTTGCCAGCTAGTCTCAGGGGAAATTAGACTGAAGTGAGGGGGACGCAGCGGTCCTTCGGGCATGGGCCAAACTAATGCACTTTAGAGATAAATGAGTGAAAGACCCCAGGGACCTAAACTCAAATACAGTGGCCTGCCCTAGCTTGATAAATGTACTGGATTCAACTGTTTAGGTCATTGATGTCTGAACAAAATATGAGAGAATTTAGCTAATAGTTTTGAAATTCTATTATCTAAATTCTCTCAAACTATTACCTAAATTCTCTGATATTTGTGTAAAATATGAGATAATTTAGCCAACAGTTTTTTTTGGTCCTTGTAATACAATTATACTTTTCATAATTTTGATTGAAGTGGCAAAACAAAACACAATTACACAACTTAACAAACATCTAAAAAGGCACGATTACATATGACAGGTTTTCATGTTTTCATAATCATTACTGGGTTTGGTCGGATAGTACTAGTGGTAAATATTTATCAGAGATTTATATGAGTCAAGTGGTAGTTTATGGTAAAAAAAAAAAGATGAACGCAGAATCCCCCTCTACCTATGTCATCAATACTGTAAATTGTACCTAAAAATGCAGGGACAATTTACAAGCAAGGAATACATTTCTCGTCAGATTAAAACTTGATTTAACAAAATAAAGTTGCTGTATTAGCCTAATCATAACTATTATGTAATTTAAACACATTTTGCCCTTGTTATATTTGCTGTGATAAAGACCTGCAATTACCTCAGTAAAATGTACAAATCTAGGTAAACATTTAGGAAAATCTTCTAATGATGTTCACTATTTATAATGAAAAGGATCTCTAACCTGTCATTTGCATTTTAAGTCACTGTAGAGAGTGGCTTCCTTCACCAAAGGCCTACAGGGCTCAACAAAAAACCTAGAGGGAAAGAGCAGAAAAATTATGGTTAGTGCCAAGACTCAGTTAGCAAATCTGTCCCAAAGACCTAACTTTAACCAAAATGATTGTTCCTAAATGAACTCAACCATAACTAGTTTCATAATCTAATTTATAATCCTGTTCCTAAACATCAGCACTCTGAATTACAAATCACAGCAGACCATCCCTCAAGTGCTTAAAATGTATAATTAACCAAAAATGAAGTGCTGTGTTGATATAGGATATCACAAGGCTCAATGTTAGGACCACTATAATTTGTTTTCCATGCATCTCCCTGCTCTGTACAGGTTCTGGAAAGTTTTCAGCAAAGGGGCTTCAAGATCTGCGGATCTTGTGGCGGAGGAGTTGACTCGTCTCAGTTCAGTGAATACGTCCTTCGCAGAGACGGCCATGACAGTGTCCATATCATCACAATCAAACAGGAGCCTGACTGAGCCTACAATAACACAAGAACAGACAGGTGTTTTTGGAACTTGGGGAGAGGATTAAGTCTTTTCTAGGAATCAAAACAAAAATTCACAAACATTCAATATTTGAGCATTGGATGTAACCCAGTGTATATTATTCATCACACTGATGCAATTTTTCACAAGCCACATTGGGTTGAAAGGTACAGATTTTTCATGTTTTTGATCTGAAATAAGACAATCTCAATCACTTAATTTAGCATTCTTTCCAATCCTAAATGTATTTGTCATTAAATTACTATTTTAGAGTTGTGCAATGGCAATACACCCCATTTCAAGTTGTAGTTTTGTTGTTTTAACTGTGTGATAACAATATAATGATTGTAGGGACAGAACTGTACAAACTCAGTGTTGTGTCTAAATCTGTATAAAATTCACAATGTTTTTAGCACTTTGTAGCAAAAACTAAAAAACATGCTGTTGTCTAGTAAACTGAAGGACAACTCACTTATATACATTGTGCACATGGCTTCCATCTCAGTTAATAAAACAAAGTAAAAAATTATGGGTTTTGAGTTAAATTATGCTTTTTAATGGTAAAACAAAACAATAACTCAAAGAGGACACAGCACATTTCCATTTCTGAAGTGACTTACAAAAAATAAATGATTATTTTTCTACTTTCAACTTTCTAGTGACAGCAACAACAAACAATAAGGTATTCTATAAATTCAAATTATATACACTGAAAGAGATTGAAATAAAAGAAAACAATTGAATGTACTGATAGTTTGTTGTGGTGATTGTAACAAGCCTTATAGCTACCCCACACTGGGGTAGTTTGGGGGTTCACTGCATGGCTCTGTAGAGAGTGAGGGAGTGCCTGAGGAAGCGGTCCTGTTCCATACATTGCAACAGGTCTCTCAAGATGATCCGGGTCACTCTCGGAACACCGGGATAGGGCAGCACACAAACCTAACAAGCGAAGAACGCATGGCTAAAAAATTTACAAAGGGTTTCAAACACATAATGCTTTATTTAGGATAGAGTACAACAGACATGAAAGGTGAGTGAAGGGAGTGACATTGGGCAACTGCTGGAGAGGGGAGCCAGCCACATTATTTCTATCTCACAGAAAAAAGATTTAAGGATGAGAATGGAAGATGCTCAAAATGTTGCCTCTAACAGTTGTCTGTTGAATAGCTTACAGTTCCCTCTCTGGGTCACAATATAAAAACAAGTTCTGACATTTTTAACAAAGAGTGCCCTGACCAAAGAACACAGTGGAGTGGCGCTTTGTTGTTTTATCATGTTCAGACATGAGACATGAGGAGGAGGAGGAGGATGCTCCGTGGTTCCAGAAAACCTCTGGGTAATGTAGTGCAAATTTAGGGTGTGCCAATTTTGTGTTTCAATCTACAGCGTGCAACAATAAGACTAAATACACAATAATTACAGACTAAATCAACTAAGCCATCAGTATATCTGTTGAAGTGTGGCTAGAAGCAACAGTTAAGAGATGGAAGATTTAAAAGCTGTAATATACAGTGGACAGCCATCTCAGATTATCCCATGAAATCAAAGAAACAAAGATAGTGGCTATGGTTACAAGTACACTCAAAATCACCAGTTTGTTTGATTACATACATTAGATTTATTTTAATAATCTTAAAGGTCCAGTAACCAGATAATAATCAGATTTTGATGCATGTAAGCTTTGAGTTTAGATCCATTTTTTATGTGATCAACACCGTTTTCATGGCCCTCAGTACAAACCTGCCCATCCAGCTCCAGGGGCTTCTTCTTTCGGGGCCCAATCGCAGCCAGTGCTGCGAGGTTGGTCTCCCTGTGCTGCAGCGCTGCCTGCTCCAATTGCTGCAGCTGAAAACATCACACAGAACACTGCATTAATAGCCAATTTTAACAAAACTCCACTCTAAGGTAGTTTTCAAATTTATTGTGGATACTAACATTTTAACATCCTTCTAAGATTACCGCCATGTTTTGACGGTACCACCAACTAATTTGTTAGTACGTGTAAGTTATTGAAATATATATATAATTAGTCACTATTCATGGAGACCAAATAGTATTTTTTTTTCTGAGCTGGCAGAAAGGTCTAAGGACAGAGCAGGCTTGGAGACAGTCCATTTCCTTGTAGAAAGTTCATATTTTTTGCTATAACCTTACAGAATCCAGAATAAACATAATAGGACTAAAGAAGAAATGAAACTTGAGTGAACACATTTTTTTTTTTTTCACATTTACAGGTAATTTTGCTTTGGATGACAGAGTGTAGTAGAGTGTATGTTTGAGAAGTCGCCTGTGAACTATGCTTCTTTAAATAGAACAGAACTGTGTACTTTCATCTTCTTCACACCTCTGTCTCACCTCAGGCTCCACACAGACACACACAGACACACACAGACACACACAGACAGATTTAAAACGAAACAAGCAGTTAACACCAACAAAACCAAACTTTGAACTGCAAGTCAAACATACAAAATTGTGATCATTTCTATTTGCAGTGGGAAGAATTATTTGATTACCTCCTTGGCTCTTTGCTTCAGCAGCAACATCTCTGGGTCTTCCACATGTGCACGGCTCTGTGGAAAATTTTTTTTAAGATGACAAAAAGCATTTACATATTTAATTAGTGAGTTATGTAGATACATGATTCTGATATGCTCACTTGGGCCAGCCGCAGCAGCCTCTCTCGCTCCTCTTCATCTGTCCTCCTCTTTCTCAAAGTCTCCATGTCCTCCAGAAACTTCAGCTGAGCGCGAACGTCACTCACTTTGGAGTGTAACCAGTCGTTCTGTTAAGGCACGCAAACAAAAATCTGTCCTTAATGTAATTTAAATATTTTCTGAAAGCATATGGTAGTAGTAGTAGTACCTTAATGAGGTTTTTGCGGTGTTGGGCTGTAACAGAGAGTTTCTCCAGCCAAGTGCGCAGAAACTCTTGAGCTGCGTGAGAGACCAGCTCTACCACCTCTGGGCCCACCTCTGTGACTTCCAAAGGCTGACCTGGGATAAGAAACACAATTAGACTGATTATTACATATAACAAGTACATAAGCCAAGCCTGTCTTGTCATTTTGGCTCCACAAACCAGGGTCACCCCTACTCTGCGTTTAGGCTAACCTTGGAATATTCTAGGCCTAAAGTGTACCAGGATGAAAAATCTGAGTGCTAATCTAGATAACAAAAGTAATATGTTAATTTGAAGAAGTACATTACAACTAATGCCATTATATACAAGGACCAGACCATATGTGGAACATGGCAAAACCAGGACTAAAAAGTGGTCACGCAATTTACTCCTAATAAAAATAAAAATCCATATGTTAAAATTCATTGCACACCACATAAAGTAATGGAACAGGCTCTGGACTGTTACCTATTTGTAGGATTTTGGCAAGCAGTGCATTTGGGGCGAGAAAGGGCTGGTCTTGGCAGGACTGCACCACAGCACCGACATGAGTGGTGAGGATCTGAGCATTTTCCTCCCTGAGATTCACTCCAGCCATAGAAGCCACATCGTTTATGTCATCATCTTCTCTAGAAAAATAACAACAGAAAATGATAATTATCTACCATTCCACTACTTAAACTTCAATAAAATCACATACTTATAGGATCCCGAGGTGCCTTTGGACATTGGACGAGGCTGCTCATGTGATTGTCTCATTGAAAGGGTACCTGAGGGGGAAAGCATCCTGGAAATTCAATTTATCCCTTTTCCATTTTAATAACTGAAGCACTTTTTGGTCCACTTTCTATAACACTTAAATTATGCCTGTTAGGACGTTTCAAAACACAGATCTTTCATTAAACCTGCACGTCATTGCTGAACCATGTTGTTGAGTGCGTTTTATACTGTAAATTACAGTAGACAATCATACTGTTCACTGTTGAAAATGGTTCCTTATAAGTAGCTTAAAAGTAGCTACTCAGTTCAAAATGCTAAGATGACATTGGGCAATCTCAATAATTGAAATGGAAACAATGAGCTTTAGAGTTTGGATTTAAGGGAAATATAACTGAAACTCTACTACTAAATGGTACTGGATGGGTTAGGTTCAATAAAAAAATAAAAAAAGTCACAAACCATATTAGTAACATAAAATGAAATTACATCTTATCGAAAGTACAGACTGTTCAATATGATTGTTTGGCATTTTGCCCAAATCTGAAATCTCCAGATGCAAATGTGTCACCTGTGAAGTTCCTTGCAGACTGTAGTCCTGTTGATTTGGGAAGAATTTGGTTTCTGGATTGAGAAAGCCATCCAGGCGCCAGTGGCTTGGGAGGAGGCATCAACTACATGTCCAAATAGATAAATGAAGAAAATGTATTACTGTGTTCTCTTCAATCACTCAAATCTATTCACCAATTAAATTCACTTCTTCTGTGATGTGCACCTGCTTTGCTGTGTCAGCGGTAGGTTTAGGGGAAATGGAAGTTTTAGTTGCTGCTTCGTAAATAAAAAGCTGTGGGTCAGGAGTCAGGATTCTTACAGCTGGGAGACTTTTCTGAGAAGAAATGAAAAGCACGTTTACAATACGGTAAAAGAAAATACAAATACACCTGACTCTCTCTTGTCTCTGAAATGAAAGCATTCATGACAAAGAAAAGAATAAAAATCTACATGAGCTTAACACAATCATTATAAAGTACCACTCACCCTGTTCTTGCACAGAACAGAAAATGAATAGTAATAGTCTGATTCAATTTCGCATTCTGCCATTCACTTTATCATTATTACAATTTCACTGATATCTTGGAGCAAATGTAATCCAGGCATGGCACTACATAACAGTACACAAATTGTACATTGAAACTCTGGTTACCTTCAGAAAAGGCACAAGACAGGGCTGTGGAGTGGACTTCAGCTCACGATACAGATGCTCTGTGAACTCATCTGCTTCCACCTTCCCTTCCTAGAAAACCAACCATTTTTGTAGTGTGATACAGTAAATAAAACATGTGAAATTATGTATTTACTTATAATGGATATACACCAGTAAACTTTTGACCAGTCCTCGGACGTTGTTGGCCATGTTTGCTGATCTTGAGTCACTCGAGGCCAGTTTGATGAGAGTCACCAGAAAGTTCTTACACTTCTTTACGCTTTCCAGTGTTTCCTGAAAAATAAATAAATAAATAAATAAAACAACAATAAAACATTAATATAGTTATAGTTTGTACGTTTTTATTCAACCCACATCGTCTACTGTGCTTACCTGGCTAAAAGTAGATGTTGCGTCCTTCTTTGGCTCTCGGACTGAAGTCAGGATTCGAGGCTGGTTCAGGGACTGGACTGTAGCAGGTTTCGGGGGTACACTGACAACCTAGATAATTTAATGTTTAATGTATCAGATAGTTTGAACCAATACACAATTATTTTTCATGAATATTATTATGAATTATAGTTTTACCTTTACCAGGGAAGGCTTCTGTATCGGAGATGTCTGGAAGTTGGGTGAAGCTGCCATTCGGATCACAGTCACCTTGTCATTCATTTTGCCTGCTGGAGGAGTTGGCTACATACAAAGGAAAAAATAAAAATTTTTTAACAATTTTTTTTCATTCAATATAGATTTTCTGAATGTATATAGCTTGCAGATGTACTACTATCAATGTTTATTTAGAGACAAAACAGTGACATGAAGATCTTTTAGGAGTTAAATTCACAATTTTTCACAACTTTTTTAATGGTCAATTTATTATTTTATTGGGATTATATGGATTTATAGGTGCAGCAGCAGAAAGGAGAATGCAAAGAGTTCATTGTTCTGTCTGTAGCAAAATCTGACCAGAAAGAACTGATTTGAAATTACAATTGGTGAGACGATTTGTATGGTCAAACAAGTCACTGTCACAAAAAATTAAAGTCACAATTTAACTAGCATTTGCCAACAGTTTTTAGTCACTCTCACTTAAAAAAAAAAAAAAAAAAAAAAAACGCCAAAACTTAACTGAGTGAATTTTATACAAGTAAGTTCCTTTATGACTCTATATGCGGCACGATTGTTTTTACACTCCATGATTCTGTCTCATATAAAGTACTGCATAACCACATGGTCACTTGCTGCTGGCTCAACACTCAAACCCGTCAAATCACTTTTTTAAAAAGCTGTAAAAATACTGGAAAAGAAACCACTCTCATTTCACCACTGCACTATTTTAGATAAGTATAACCTGCTCAATTTTAATAATTTAGTTGATTTTAAATATGGATTGTTTATCTATAAAGTTTTGTATGGACTTGTCCCCCATCCGTTACAGGATTTTATTAAAGTAAAGACTGTCAGTGGGATGGGAACTAGGGCCACGGCCCGGGGGAAATCTGAGGTCCCACACAGATGCACCACATTTGTCTGTGTGCTCTCAGTCAGACAGTCAGAGGCAATAAATTTTGGAACAATCTCCCACTATCAATAAGAGTCTCCAACACTGGCCACTTTCAAATCCCACTTGAAACAGTGGCTAAAGAAAAAACTGACTTATGGACACTTTTAGTTTAGAACTGTCACTTGTTTTTATAATTTTTCCTTTGTTAAATTTGTGGTGTTACCTGCCTAGGGACTACAGATGGAAATTAGCATTCTTGCTATAATTTGTCATTTACACTGCAGCGTTGTAGATGTTCATTAATATGCACTGTCCCTATTAAATAAATAAATAAAAACAAAATGGGACCATGAATGCTTGTGCCGATCAGACTCCTGAAAATGTGTTGTTTAAATCCATTTTGTATTTCTTAAAAAACGTATGTGGCACCATGGTGACAGTAGGACTCATAGACATTCATGAAGTCACCTTTCAGTGTGATATCACAGCTGCAATTCAACACCAGGGGTCTTCAGTGTGAGGGGCCTTGAGTCTAGGGGGTACAGCGATCATTTGGTCTATTTGACAAATCTGTTGAAACACTGAATTAGTGTTGGGATTCCCAGTGCACGTTTTGATTACTGTGGTAGTTTTGGAGCCTGATGAAGACCCTTGCAGTATACTGAAGAGATGCTGGAGCGTTTGCCTTGCTGATAACCCACCGGAGGACTGAGGAGCCTGGGCGTGGGGGGTCCGGTGCTGGGGCGTGTAGCCTGCTGTGCCTGAGCCAGAGCCTGCTGCGACACCAACATCAACTGCCCACTATCACTGCGGATCAGCATCATACCTGCATACAAATAGTAACATCAAGCCAAACCGAACAGAATATTTAAAGGGTACTGTACTAATAATGAAAGATAAAACAACACTTAAGAGAAAAGCAGTTACAGTTTAGTGATTGTCAGACCAGCTAATCTTAATAATTATCCCATATACAAAAGGGGGTGGGGAGGATTGTCCAAATTGTGTTGAAGCAATTTGACTAACCATGGAATTCCCTGTTAACATAATATTAAACCAATGAAAATTCTAAAATAGTAAATTAGTTAGGATTAATCCAAAATAATTCTGAAATGTTGTGATAAATATATTGAGCCGTATTTACCCAGCAGTTAATGTGGTCGTTTACTGTATTGTTATATATTGTTTTGGCTACTGCATCTTTGTTGAGTTTTGTCTGTTTATAACGAACATAGTGGATTTATCTGAACATTTTATTTATGAGATATGATCTTAATCTCTATCACATATCACAGGGCCCCATCCATTGTCTGACCTGGAGGGATTTGGAAGTTGGCCGGGAGCTGTGCGGAGGTTGTTTGGGCCACTCGAGGAGCCACATTCACTTGCTGAGTGGCAGCAGCACCTCTGGGGACAGTGATCACCAATGTCCGGCTTGGAGTGGAAGAGGGGCTAATCTGGACTCCTGGGTTTAGGTTCTTGGTCACCTGCTGTTCAGAATGTCAGGATTAATAGTGTTTACAAATTAAACATGTTTAGAGATGTCTATGTAGCAAACAGATTATTCAAGGTAATCCAGAAAATGGAAGTAAAAACATTTTATTGTCACAAAATGGTATGTGGCTTATAAATTCCACTGTTCACCACTATAAGAACAAAGATTTAAACAATAAAATCATAATGCTATATGGTATTCTAGAAGTGTGAGTAAATATAAAGTAATGGTATTGTCTAAAAATTAAGGGCAAATCTACATAAGAAATGAAAGTTTAAAATGTGTCACAGACTCTCATTTTTTAAAGTATCATGTTAATAAATAAAACTTGTTTAAAGGTTTTGCTAAAAATGTAGATCATGATTAAGATTTTATCACAATTTATGTACAGTTCATATCTTTATATTGTCTTAAACATAAGCCCTATGGGGCTTTCAATAGTTCTCATTTCACTGTGATTAGGTAGAAACGGCCACTGTGAGGCCTTTGTACCTGTTGTGTCACAGTGCTCCTCACTGCTCCAGGGGCATTCATTTTTGCCACCACGACAGGAGCAGAGATGGTGGGACTGGGCTGTACAGAAACAGAGGAGGGGGGCTTCAGGACAGGGCCAGGTGAAGGGATCACTTTGACCACGGCAGAAGCAGCACCAGAAGAAGAAACAATCTTCACAGCAGCGTCTGTCTCTGCCAAGCCTGGCTTTGAACCTTCAGCTGGTTTATTTGTGTTCATTGTTGCTTCTGAACAAATAAAATACATTCAGACATACCTGAGTTAACCAATAATGCATTTTGCAATATGCACTTCACAGGCTTGTCAAAACCTCTCAAAGTGCTCCACTGCTCCACATGTGCTACTATTCCAACCACAGCTGCCCTGGGACAGACTGATGGAAGTGAGGCTGCTAATCTGCACCATCATTCATGCAGAGGATTTTAAACATCTTTTATCAAGGGATGGACATATATAATTCATCTGAACTACATATGTAATTCATTTGATTAGCCGAAGTGATTAAAACGACTGACAAGAAATACCAAATAATTAATGTTACAATGAGCCTATTGAACCACCCAGGGCATTTGACTGGTCTTCCTATAGCAGAAGCAGATAAGTGAAAAACGTTTCTGAAATGATCAGAGCAAAAACACATTTCCCTGTCCCTCATTAAAATTCTTGGGCTGAGCAGGTTTGTCTGAGAACTTTGACTTCATGCCAATGTCTGGGATCTGTCATGTTGCTTTTTTATTTTAATTAACTACCATTTGATGAAATGTAAATTACATTTTCAAGAAGAAAGTGTAAACAGTGCTTAATAATTAGTTCTAGTGTGGGAGTATATCTATGATATTTATTAGCTTTTATTATGACTCATTTTGCACACCTGTTGCAAATGCTAGCGGCTAGCTCAGTCCTTACGGTTTATATGATGCAGATGTAAACTGTTTCTACAAAAAGCCTCGTTCTCAGCCGTATCAATATATTTAAACAAAATGGAAACACTAAATTATTTATACAAACCTTTTGAAAACACCTCTCCGAGCTAAAGTTCCCCAAACTCCACCAGGGACGGCGCATTGTCGAATCGTTAGCGCCATCTGCTGGAGAGGGAAAGATTTCATAACGTTGGTGCAAACATTTTTAATTTGGCAGGACTCAACTGTTTCAACTAGAAAACTATAATAAAATAATAAATATTATAGATCCATGGTTACAACTAGAGAAGGAAGACAATGATTTTCACATAATTTAATCATTCTATAACTCAGTAGGTCCAGCAATAAAGGAAGTAACACAGATTCATTCTTGCATACATTAATGGAATTTATTTTATATTTATTCACCAGTCCACTGAAATTACACTTTTATTTTATCTGCACATAAATTGTTACAGGTTAACATATTGTAGCTCAACAGTGACTGCCTGCCCCCAGGTCCAGAACAAAATTTTACATTACATTTTTTTATAGACTTTCAGAAAAAATAAAATAAATTAATTAATTAAACGATGAAAACATGCTTGCAAAGTTATTAAAACACTTCGCAGAATATTAAACAAAATTTAACTTATCATGAGAATAAATATCGTGAAAATTATTGAGCTCAAAATTACTGTCTTTTGCCTTTGCATGACTCCTTATTTCTGGCACATGACACAGAGTACAGGAACTTCCAAGAGTCAAAGGTAAATTTTGAGCTCAGTATTTTTCTCATACAAATATTTCTTCATTATAGCAACTAGTTGTCAGATTTTGGAAGCCCTACCTGTTATACTTTTGTCTGGCCAAAACAGAAACTTAATTTTCACATAATTTTTCTAAGTTTCACACTGGTGAGTTAAGGTCTTTTGCCTTTGTAGGGCAGTATGGTCACCACATAGCTGGTTTGACTTTGAATTCTTCGAAAAGTCTTTGGGAAAAATGAAAGGAAAATTTACTTCCGGAAGCAGAGCAAGGGGCCACTGTTGAGCTCCGTAGACTAAGTGAATCACAACACATCTTGGAATTTTATTTAATTTATGAAAGTTAGTGGAGAAAAAAAATATCTATCCCTTTCTTTACAAATCTCCACACCTCACAGTTAATCAAAGAGTGACAGAGGAAGACCAACAGATGTGTGTGCACATTTTATAAAGTTATTTAATATTCATATGCTCAAATAATAATGAATATACTCTACTATAAACACATTTATCTTCCCCCAGACAACAACTGCAAGACCAGCTCCTCATCCTCTGCCAGTGAAAGCCCAGTATCCAGAACTGTGTCCTCTTCTTCTTCTTGTCGCTTCACTTTGAGCCTCTTTGTAGACACTGGTTTCTCCTCTTCTTCACTTTCACTTTCGCTTTCACTTTCACTACTTAACCGCCTTTTTGTTGATTTAATCTTGTCCTCTTCCTCTTCATCGTCCTCTTCCCCACTACCAGAATTGTCCAACTTATCCGGATCTGGCAGCGTACTAGGATCAAATTCGTCCTCTTCGTTGCTCTGATTAGCCAAATATGCGACCACTTCATCCTCTTCCTCATCTTCTCGCTTATTTTTCTTGCTAGCTTCTCTCCTCGCTGCTTTAGCTTTCAGCCTTCTTTCCCGATGCTTCTCCTTCACCTTCCTCCTGTACTCCTCCTTGTCAAACTCCTGATCCTCCATTTTGAGTCTCTCTTTTGCTTTTTCTACGTTAATTCCTGACATTTCTTCTTCATCGTCATCGTCATTTCCTGTCACGGCCCTCTGAACCGGAGGCCATAACTGCACAGCCTCCCCTTCCTCGCTAAACGTAACTTTAGTATTGACTTGGAAATTCCTCTTGAGTACCTTTTTGGCCTCTTTGTACTTGGTTTCTTTGTTTTGTTTCTTCTTTTCTTTCAGTTTTTCCTCTTCTTCTTCTTCTTCTTCTTGCCCTTCTTTGAGATTAAAAACATCTTTGCGTTTTACCGTGAGCAAGTCCAAGTCTCTCAAATCATCATCATCGTCGGCGTCTCCTAAGGCTGTTTTGCTATTTGCTGACTCTGCACTTTCTTCATCTGAGGAACTTTCAGACTCAGATTTGGTATTTTCTTCAACATCTCCTTTAAGTTGTTGCTTAAACCTCCTCAGTTCTTCATCCTCCTCCTCGTCCGATTGCTGGACTTGGCTTTCTTTGTTTTGTCCTGGAGTTTTGTTGAGGAACCGGACCCTTGGAGCCACAGCGAGGCCGAGGGACAGGGCGTACTCGTGGAGCTGCAGTTTGTTGACGTCGAACACTTGCTTGTTTTTCATGAGGTAAACGGACCGCAGGTAGGACACAAAGCACCTCTGAGCACGCTCCTTCATCTCCTTCTCCTGGGCCAAGAAGGACTCAAGCTTCTGCTCCACGCTCTGTAGCTTCTCCGGGTTCACCTAAAATAAGAACAAATAATTTAACTAACTTCACTATAGACTGGAAGTTTTTTTTAGTGTATTATCTTTCCACAAACAAAGCAACACTGCACAATTTTCTGGAGGTGGCACGCAACCTGGTAGCCTGATTCATTAGCTGGTTTCACTTCATGGAAACCGTCTGACCTCACATGATTAGGATTCACTTGCTCGATGATAGGCGGGTACTTTTTTTATTTATCCAGTGATATTTGGTTGTGACATATGTAATGCGCCAAATCCTCTAGGTACAAGGGCAATAACGTCTTTCCCTTTGATAAAATTCACCAAAAATTCTCTTTTCTCTCCAGAACAAAGATAATTTTTTAAATCCTTGATCTCGGGAATCATTGCCAACACAGAATGTATGGCTTCATCTACTTCCATCGTGACCGCTTTGTTTACTGTGGTGCTGTACCACAAAAGGGACCAAGACAGGCGCTTGAGTTTTCCATCATGGCTTCGTAAAGGTCTACGACTTCCAGGGTTCTTGCAAACCATCTAGTCTATTCTGATTCCTGACCTAGTCGCTGGAGAGAAATAAAATTGAGCCAAGGCACTAGGTGTCGCCAGTCTGGCTCGCAACCTGCATGAGTCCATGGAAATAGAACATTTAAACCATACATTTAAATATTCTCCATGGAGATACATAGGTTTAATGCCAGACTGTGAAATATTATAGCCAATGGAAAATTTTAATGGAATCAAGCAGGTCGTGGCCCTCCTTCAGTGGAGACGGAAGCCCCCTACAGTAAGGATGCATGTTTTTCTATGTTTTTATGCAGTGAGGCTTTAAGGAAACACTTACATTTCAATTTGTGTAACTTTTTTTGTATGGCAACTATGTGTTCAAATATTTTCTATTTGACACACTAATATTATTATAATAAAATAAATACTAGTAAAATTCTCCTCTGTAGTAAAGACCTGGATAGGCATTAGATTTACCCTAAAAACCAGTTCCAGATTACTCCTGTTTGAAACCTTTCTTACCATGGTAGACTACTGGGATTACACCAAAGGTACAGTTACTGTTGCCCATATATACTTATGGATTTGGGAGTTGTAACAGTGATAAATAAAACGTAGAGGCTTATGATGATTACCAGAATATTTTCATTTGAGACGAAGAGTTTTACCTGGATCTTGTTGATGGGGACCTTCTTGTCCTGCAGTAGCTGGACCATGCTCTTCTCCTCTGAGGGCAGCAGCAGGAGCAGAGCCTCTCCTCCCTCCTTGTATCTGGCGGTCCGTCCCACCCTGTGTATGTAAGTGTCTGCATCTTCTGGACAGTCAAACTGAAGGACCCAGTTCACAGCGGGAAAATCCAGACCTCGGGCTGCGATGTCAGTGGCAAAGAGCATCGCATGCTGTTTTTTCACAAAGTCATTGTACACCTCCACTCGTTTCATCTGCTGCTGTTTACCGTGAAGAGCCAGGACAGGGATGCCAGGTCTGAGGCGACAAAATGCTCTGAAACAAAACAAGTATGCAGGTGAGTAAAGTAGGCCCATATGTTTTGACCTTAATGCTGTGGACAATTTAGCCTTGCTAAATCCTGTAGAGTACCTTAAATGAATGTACATGTCTTGGCAATAACATAAATACATTATACATTATAATAATTGTAACTGACCAAAAATTAATATCATGGTATTTTGGATATTCCTGATAATTAACCAAATGCTTATTCTACAATCTAGCAGAAGGCCGGTAAATGTCTTGGTGGAAGGTAAAACAGGACTGTAAAACAGATTACTTAAGTGAAGAAATAAAAGATAGTGTGCAGAAATATAAGATTGTGTTTTTACAACCCTAACAAGGAAATTAATTCAAAACAAATGTTGATGCTACGATGACAAAAAGTAAAAAAAAAAATTCTATTATTTTAATCATGCCATATTAAAATAGCAAAATTTTTGAAATTCAAGCAAAGGTTCCATTTTGTCCGTATCAATACTTGTTCAAATGAGTATCTGCTTTTGATATTACAAAATTTGGTACTGATTAGTTACTTCGGTATTGATCCTTTAGACAACCCTAGATTACAGTGATGTTTTCTATTATAAAACTCAATATTAAATTTGGCATGTCTTGAAAAATATATATTTTCTATATCTTACCTGAAGAAATACTGTACTTCCTTGCAGCAGGCGAAGAACACAATGACTTTCTTCTTGAGGTGACTCCTTATGAAGGAGAAAAGCATGCTGACTTTCTGGTGCAGCTCACACACCACGTAGCTCTGCTCCAGTGTGGCCGGCGTGCTGAACTTGGCCTTCTCATGGACCCAAACGTACTCGGGATCTTTGAGGCTGAGGCGGGCCAAATCCTTCACCGACTTGGTTTGAGTGGCTGAGAAAAGCAGTGTCTGTCTAGTTCTGGGGAGGTTTTCCACAATGGCGTTGAGTGTGTCGGCAAACCCCATGTCCAGAATGCGATCGGCTTCATCCAGGACAAGCATGTGCAGGTCCGAGGCGTGAAAAGTGGCTGTTTCGTCCATGTGCTGCAGCAGTCGCCCCGGGGTGCAGATCACAATGTTGGTTTGGTGAATTCGCTCAGATTCAGTTTTGAGGTCCTTTCCTCCGATAACAAGACCAGCAGAGAACTCGTGGTTTTTGCCGACTTTACGCAACACCTGGATGGAGGAGTAAAGCATTTAGGTCAGATTATATTACTTAGTTCAAAGTGCAATATGTAACTTTTCTGGTTGTCTTTCTGAGCATATTGCTGCTTTACCAAAAATATTTCACACAGTGATATTAAAATTACCAGATGACATCACCTGATAAAATTACCGAACAGATCTGTGGAGAAGTGACCCTGCTCACAGTAAGAATGCGTGTTTTTCAACCTACTTTTGAGCAATAAAAGTACTTCTAATGGGACAGTGCAAGACAGATACATTTAATACTATACTTTGGAAACTTCTTCTTTAGAGTATCTCTTCAGAAGTTCAATCCCAGACTAGGAAATGAATCTTTTTCCTTACAAATTGACCTCAGCTTTTGTCTAGGGTGACCAGATTTTCAAAATAAAAAACTGGGACATTGTCAGTTTGGGGTGGTTGATAGTAATAAAATTGTGAAACGAGTGTGTAATTAAGAAAATTTGTTATGCACTTGGCACTAATGTATTTTCTTTGTGTTTTTGTCATTTTTAAGCAGCTTTTCTTTATTTTACTTATACAAATGAGAATTTATGCCTCTCTTTAATGTTGGCTGGTATCAGATTGGTCAAAAATAGGGACACGTGGGATATTTCTTGTATAAAACTGGGACAAATCACTGGTTTTGGATAAATCTGCCGGGACAGGAGACACAGGGCTCAAAACTGGGGCTGTCCCGGGTTAACAGGGACGTCTGGTCACCATACTTTTCTATTAACTTTCCCCGTTTTTTGACCATAGATTAATATAGACCTAAAAGTTTGTAATTATAGGAGTAGGTAAACTAATTAAAGATTGGCAGACAAATTATTCTAAAATGAACAATTTGCTGTATTACCTCAAAGGTCTGGTAGGCAAGCTCTCTGGTGGGGGATATGATCAGGGCTCCCAGTCCGTCCATGGAGGTCCACTGATGGCGATAAAGACACTCCAGCACCGGGATGAGGAAGGCGAGGGTCTTCCCGGAGCCTGTCTTGGCCGCTCCGAGCACGTCTTTCCCCCGCAGAGCGAAGCCAATGGTCTGCCTCTGGATCTCCGTGGGCTGCCGATACTGCGCCTCCTGAAGTCCTAACAGTGTTTTCTTTGACAAGGGGAAATCGGAGAATTTAACAGCTTCTTTCGTGTTTATCTCCTCGTATCTGCTCACAAGCCTGTCAATATATTCCCTCTCAACCTGCCATTCGGGCTTCTTTTTTTTCGCTCGTTCAATCTTCACTCTAGCTTTAGTTTTATTGTATTTTTTCTTCCATTTCTCAAAGTTTTTCACGGGATCAGTTCCGTCTTTCATTTTTGCAGCTTTTGGTTTCTTCCCAAATGAATTTGAGCCCTTCTTTTCCATTATTTACTGAGAAAAAAAGATAATATTGGAAGTAAACTGCGTGTGTACAAAGCACACATGGGAAAAGCTGGAGTCGCTTCAGAAAGACGTCATCAAACAGTGACAGCGTGCGGTCTGCTGATTGGTTGGATATGTTGTTAATTTATTATTCAATTTTATTGATCCATAACTTGATTTTACAAAATTATTATTACATATTTAGATCTATGGTGAAATTCTAACACATTAGTACATTTTTGTTAAGTTGGAATATTTTATGACGAGGACTTTTTACAATTTCTTCTGAATAACTCTTAATGCCAAAAAAAGTTAACATACATTGCGTTGAAGTTACACAAAACAAAACCATTTTAGACACTGATGACAATGAGGCTCAGTACAAAAGTATGTTTTATTATTGTCAGAAGAAAACAAAAGAATTCGTATAATTATTTGTAATGTATCATGACATTTTAACAAAAACTATCAGATGGATGCGGTGAGAACGTCATCGGTTGTACGGATGCATGGAGCCTGATGCAGACTTGATATTTGTCTTGATACTGCTGGGCATTTTTCCTGTAAAGAGAAAAAATATTACCACATGCATTTTTTGTGCTATATTTATCTAAATGTACCTTTTGAAAATACACAGCTCATTAGGCGGACAATCCACAGCCTTAACACTACGGGTGTGCAAAAATATCAAAATATCAATATATCGTATCGTTTAATGTCATGATACAGTATTGATATCATGAGCTGCTGTATCGATATATTGCCAAGAGTATTTTTTGGTACATTTTACTATATTATTTTGTTACAGAGCTACAGTTTTGTTGCTTGTTTAGAGGAAGGAAACATTTATGCAACATATTTAACATTTTCACTGTTTTGATTATTAAAATGTTTGTGTTTCATATTTACTTTGCACAACAAGTGGTTTAACAAAGACTTTTAGCATCACAGTCATGATTTAGCCCTTATTTTTTATTATAAGTATATCAAATCAGTTTGAAATATATTGTATCGAATCGAAAGTTCACTGTATTGAGGTATTTATCATATTGTGGCCTATGTATTGAGGTATGTATCGTATCATATCATGGTCTATGCATCGAAGTATGTATCATATCGTGGTCCATGTATTGAGGTATGTATCGTATCATGGCCCTTGTATCGAGGTATGCATCGTATCATGGTCTATGTATCGAGGCCTATGTATCGAGGTATGTATTGTATCAGCAGTGTCTTAATGACACCCAACCCTACTTCGGATGTTGTGATATTTACTGAATCCCCATCATCCCTCACCTGGCTGCCCCTGTTGTTGCTGAGGAACAGGACCTCCCATCGAAGGCTGTTGACCAGAGCCCCCTCCAATGGTGACCTGCTGCAGAGTGGGGCCCCCGCTCATCATGGGCCCCTGTCCCGGGAGCCCAGGGGCCACTGGTCCTGGGGGCCTGCATTTAGACAAACCTTTGCCAAATGCCACTGCTCCAACCAGGGCATTTGTGTCTGTAGGGTTGAACGATGGTTTGTTCTGTCTTAAAGCTAAAAAAAAAAAAAAAAAAAGAGCACATGGAGTTTAGAGACGATACAGGATTTATATTAATCTGATGTTTCTTTGTGTTGTTATCAGGACGACAGTTTTGGAGAGGGGAGGAATTAGACAGTTGCAACATTATAATGCATACAATCCGTAGGAAAACAAACCTGCAGTCTCAGCCTCCCTCTCATCTCTGGGGTTGTTCAGTTTTTCCAAAAGACCGGAACACAGCTTATTCAATGTCTGGATCTGCTTCTGTAGTCATAAACCACAACAGTCAGTCAGATCATCATACAGGTCCTATTTCTCAGAATTTTGTCAAAAGTCTTAAAGGTTTGTCAATGAAATACACTCTATTCACGCTTAAGTCACAAACCAGGAAGACATTTGGAAAGATGCAATTACAACTTCCGGCGGGCTCTGTTATAGAAAAATTTTGAAAATGTCCCAGTTTTCTTCATCTCCATGTCATTGTAGCGTTCTGTTATGTTCGAGTAATCAACAATTACAACCATACCTCAGTTTTCATAATTTCCCCACTGACACAAAACTCCAAGCACTGGGTACATGCGATTAGAAGAGATGAGAGCGCGAAATTCAAAATTATTCCAAACAGGACATATTTTTGCGGTCTTCATTTTACCACTGATCACATTTACTTCAATGGGTTTTGTCATAGTCGGTCAGTGAGCCCAGTGTCAGGAACTACACCGGAAGTTGTCCAAACGTCTTCCTGGTTTGTGACGAAAGCGTGAATACAGCCTATAGTGGCTACAAATTGGCAAATTAATTCAGTCCCAGGGCTGTTGTGGAAGGCAAGTGCATGAAAAATATCAGCTCTGCAGGCGTCAACAATATTTACCATTAATGCTATAAATACTAAATGCCCAAAAGATCATTATTTGAACTTAGAAGCCTGGGGATATAAATATGGCCTTTTCAACTCTGTACATTTGTTTTCAGGTTTCATGTCGACTATGGCTGGATGAACATTACGTGCTTGTCTGTAGTGTAGTTTGGTTCCTTGTTACATTTGTACAGTTAGACTTTATCATTCATTCTGATAATAACAGACCTGTGCCATTTCAGGGCCTATGCGAGCTGCCTCTGCACTCAGCTGCTTCTCTTGTTCCTCCACTTCAGGGTCAGGCTTTGTGCGCAAATAATCAGGAACTATTTCATGGCTGAACACCGGCACTCGCTGCTCTGTTAATTTCTAAAGGAAAAGAAGCACAAAAGATAAGAATGGATTATATCCCAGTTGCATACAGATAAGGCAAGGCAAGGCAAGTTTATTTGTATAGCACAATTCGTACACAAAGTAATTCAAAGTGCTTTAGAGAATAAGAAATACATTAAAATCATAATAAAAACAAATCAAAACATAAATAATCATGAAGATTAAAATTAAAAAAGAGAGACATAAATTGGAGAGAAGAGTGCGGAATGAAAACCTTTCAGTTATATGCACAGTTAAACAGAAATGTTTTGAGTCTGGATTTAAACAGCGTCACAGAAGAGGCCTGTCTCACATGTTCAGGAAGACTGTTCCAGGTTTTAGCTGCATGAACCTGAAACGCTGACTCCCCTTGTTTAGTTCTGACTCTGGGCACCAGCAGGAGGCCGGACCCTGAGCTCCTCAGAGTGCGAGATGGTTCATATGACACTAACATGTCACAGATGTACTTTGGTGCTCGGCCATGGAGAGACTTGTACACAAGCAGAGCTGCTTTAAAGTCTATTCTCTGAGGCACAGGAAGCCAGTGCAGAGACCTGAGCACAGGACTTATGTGCTCGTACTTCCTAGTTCGAGTAAGGACCTGAGCTGCAGCATTCTGGATGTTCTGCAGCTGTCTCACAGCTCGTTTGGAGAGACCAGTGAGCAGACCATTACAGTAGTCTAACCTACTGGAGACAAATGCATGGATAAGTTTCTCCAAGTCTGCTTTAGACAGTAAACCTTTGATTTTTGCTATGTTTTTTAGATGGTAAAAGGCTGCAGATGTTATTGATTTTATGTGACTGTTAAAGTTCAAGTCTGAGTCCATTATTACCCCTAGATTTCTTGCCTGATTTGAAGGTTTTAGAGCGAGAGACTGGAGGTGACTGCTGACACTGTCCCTTTGTTTCTGTGGACCAAACACTATGACTTCAGTCTTGTCAGAGTTTAGCTGGAGAAAGTTGTTTTGCATCCACACACTGATCTGTTGGATGCAGTGACCAAGTGACTCCACTGGTCCATAGTCTCCTGCTGCCAGAGAGACGTAGATCTGAGTGTCATCTGCATAATTGTGGTACGACACGTTATTGCTGCTTATTAACTGGCCTAATGGCAGCATGTAGAGATTGAACAACAGGGGGCCCAGGATTGACCCCTGAGGCACCCCACAGGTCAGGGCCATGTCATCTGAGACACAGTTTCCAATTTCAACAAAATACTTCCTGTCTTCTAGATAGGACTTGAACCAGTTTAGTACAGTACCAGAGATGCCCACCCAGTCCTCTAGTCTCTGTAAGAGGATCCCATGATCGACAGTGTCAAAAGCAGCACTCAGATCTAACAGGATCAAGACTGAGACTTTGCCTGCATCAGTGTTCAGGCGGATGTCATTTGTCACCTTGATAAGAGCAGTCTCAGTGCTGTGGTGGGCTCTAAAACCTGACTGGAAAACATCAAAGGAGTTGTTCATTTGGAGAAAGTTCGTAAGCTGTTGGTAAACAGCTTTTTCAAGGACTTTGCCAAAAAACGGCAGATTTGAGATGGGTCGGAAATTGTTCAGTACTGTGGCATCAAGACTGCTCTTCTTTAGGAGAGGCTTAATGACCACAGTTTTCAATGCATTTGGGAATGTTCCAGATTGAAGTGACATGTTAACTATGTGAGTGAGTGGTGAAAGTAAACTGTTGAGGACGGACTTTAGAAATCTAGTGGGTAACATGTCCAGGCAGCAAGTAGATGAACTCAGACTGGTAACGATCTCTAAAACAGTTTTGTCAGTTACAGGTGCAAAGTGATTCAGCTCTAAGTGTCTCTGTGGCTGCATGCTTGTTATTTGTGTTGTGGAATTGATGGCATTTTTGATGCCCTGAACTTTGTCATTAAAGAAAACTGCAAACTCATTACATTTAGATGTGGAAATTAGTTCTAGTGGCAGTGGAGCTGGAGGGTTTGTTAATCTGTTCACTGTTGCAAACAGGACACGAGAGTTGTTACTGCAATTACCAATAATGTCAGAAAAATACTTCTCTCTTGTTTTACTCAAAGTGTAGTTGTACATATGCATTGTTCCTCTGTAAATCTCATAATGAACCTGGAGGTTTGACTTGCGCCATTTCCGCTCAGCCTTCCGGCACTCCCTTTTCTGTGCTCTGACTGAGTCATCATTCCTCCACGGAGCTTTTTGCCTATCTTTAACCACTTTAACCTTTATCGGAGCGATGGCATCCAGAACATTCAAAACACTCAAAGTCACAGAGTTCAACACATCATCAACATTAGAACATGAGGCAATTTCAAAATGTATCATTTCCATGAACAGTGCACCTGTGTTATCATTTATGTGTCTTCTTCGAACAACTGTAGGAGCAGCCGGTGGTTTGGGAATAACAGACAGGTCAAAGAAGACACAGAAATGATCAGACAGAGCAACATCAACCACACTGACATTTGAAATATTTACACCCTTTGTAATGAGCAGGTCCAGAGTGTGCCCTCTGTTGTGAGTGGGCTCACTGACATGCTGAGTCAGACCAAAAGTTTCAAGGACAACACTAAGCTCTTTGGCATTTTTGTCACACACATTATCCACATGTACATTAAAATCACCTGTAATGACTAAACCATCAAAGTCTGTGCAAACAACTGAAAGCATCTCAGTAAAATCATCAATAAAACTTTGACAGTGCTGAGGAGGTTTGTATATGACTATGTAGAGTATGGACGGTGATTGTTTTAGCTCCATTTTGAGGGAAACATACTCAAATGATGAAAACACCCCAAATGACAACCTGTGTGTAACCAAATGATCTCTAAAAAAATGCACACACTCCTCCACCCTTTTTATTTGCTCGTGTTTCAGATTCAAATTTGAAGTTGGGAGGGGTTGATTCCACTAGCACTGCATGACCTGTGTTTTTGTCAAGCCATGTTTCAGTTAAAAACATAAAGTCAAGATTAAAAGAAGAAATAAAATCATGAATTAGAAATGATTTGTTACATAAAGATCTGACATTGAGCACAGCAAGTTTCTGATTAGTTTCAGTAGGACTGGATGTTATCTTCTTACAGGGAAAGTGAACTAAATTTCTCTGATTAGACAGTCTAACTGTCCTTCTTTTAATCTGTCTACGTGTTGTAACTGGAGCTATAGCTCCATCGCAGGGCCCCAGCCTGATATTACCTTTATCATGACTGTATGTCCTGGGACAGCAGAGGCCCTGTGCGTCCTAGCTCTTGGTGATAACAGCTCTGGGGAAAGGCGGGGGAGGGCGAGCAGGGGAGAGTTTGGGTAAGTGACCAGGTGAGGGACCAGGTGAGGGCCGAGGAGGTGGCCGAGGAGGTGGAATACGGGGAGGTTTGGGTGAGGGGCCTGGTAAGGACCGAGGAGGTGGAGTAGGGGGAGGTTTGGGTGAAAAATTAGAGGGGAGAGCTGAGAGAGTCTCTGGTGGTGAAACAGGCACAGTTTTGTATGGGGGAGAGTTCAACATAACCCTTGACCGTGCTATGTTAGGTGTGAGAGGAACCATCTTGATTCCCGATCTGATGAGGCTTTCTAGATGGTTGGGCAGTGCCATGGGTGAAGGTGGGGAGGAGAAGGACAGTGAAGAGTCCGTTGATGGAGTAGATGTAGCAATGGGGACTCCAGGCTGGTCTGTGGGCAGCGGAGGTGATGGGTGTGCTGGTGGCGCTGGGGGAGGTGGTGGTGGTGTTGCTGACTCATTCTCTGGGGGAGGTGGTGCTGCTGACTTGTTCTCTGGGGGAGGGGAAGGTGGTGATGCTGACTTGTTCTCTGGGGAGGGGGAGGTGGTTCTGCTGACTTGTTTCTCTGGGGGAGGGGGAGGTGGTTCTGCTGACTTGTTCTCTGGGGGAGGGGAGGTGGTTCTGACTTGTTCTCTGGGGGAGGGGAGGTGATGATGCTGCTGAGTTGTTGTCTGGGGGAGGGGGAAGTGGTTGTGGTTGTGGCAGTGGTGGTGCTGTCAATGGTGCTGACTTGTTGGCTGGTTCTCTGTTAGGTGCAGCAGGGATGCTTCTCCCATTTCTCTTTTCTCTCACTGGATGCACAGGACCCTGTCCAGGCCGGTGCCTCAAAGCGTGGAGGAGGTTTTCCGTCAACACTCTCACTCCACCTCTGCTTAGGTGTGGGCCATTTCCCTCGAACAGGTCCTTCCGTTTCCAAAAAAGATCAAAGTTCTCAATGTAGTGCAATCCTCTGGCCATGCACACATTCAGCAGCCACGTGTTCAGCTGAAACAGTCGGGTAAATTTGTTCCTGTTCCTTAGGTCTATGTTGGGAAGAGGTCCACTGATAAATGTCTTAACCTCCACTTTATTAAGCTCCTCGAATAATTTTGTGAAATCCCTTTTCAAGACTTCACTCTGTTCCATTCTGATGTCCACTGCACCCACATGCACAATCAGCTGTTTGACCCCTTGGTGTGTTGACAAAACTTTTGGCAGGAGTTTTGTTATCTCAGAAACAGTGTAGGTCGGGTAGCAGCATGTTAGGATTCTTCTGTGACTCACACCACTGATAGCCCCGTCTCCTAGCAGCAACGTATCTCTGACCTTGACGTTTGGCACAGATTCCCGGTATGCCTGCACTCTTTTGGCAACTTTATTGTTCTTGTTTTGTGATGACAGTACATTATCCCTTTGTACGTTAACATCAGTCTGTGACAGTGGTGAAAATCTGTTTGTTAGCTTTATTGTGGGTGATATAACGATATTAGCATTGTCTTTTACCACTCGCTGCGCTGGCTTAGCATTTTGGTCTGTACCAAGTTTCGGAAAAGACACAGTATCACTCAGGTTTAAGTTGAAAGAATTTCCACCCTCTTCTCTAGAAGTAACTGTAGGTTGCTCACCACTGGAAGTCACTGGTAGCGTCTGATGAAGTCCTTTTTCAGTTTCTAAAGCAAATATCCGTGCTTGTAGCTCATAAATTTCTTGTTGATAGTTCCGACAGCGCTCACAGATAGAATTCCCTTGGTTTCTTCTCCCCGACATGTTGGCTCATCAGATGATTTGTTAAAAAATGTAAAAATGTTTAAAAGTATTAATTTACTTAAAAGGAAATCAAAAATAGCCGTTGTTGGAGGAGGTAAACTGATTAAAAAGCAAAAACAGCAGGAGCAAGCAAGGATAGCGTCCGCACTCTTCAGAAGCAGGAAGTACTGCCAGATAAGAGCCCTTAGCTAGTAAAGTAAGTAACTATTTGTGTTTTGAAGGCTGTCTGTCATTTATGGAAGTTTTCTTTCTAGAAATAAGTTAGCTTTGGTATTTATTTTGTAACACCTGCAGGGTCTGGGCTGCAGTACCGGAAATGTGTTAGAGGGGGATTTGAAAATTGGTTTGAATTTATGTTCTTGTATTGACTGACATAGTTAATTATATTGCTTTAAAAATAGTTTGATTATCTTCCTGGTTTATTTCATGAGTGTCAATTAATTGTTCTGATATATATTTTTGGGGTATTTGACACTGCCTGGTTTTCCTCCCTTCCCTGGCGGCTGATGGGCCCTTCCAGGAGAGTGGGGCTCAAAATTCAAACTTCTGCTGCTTAGGAGAATGGAGAGGTCAGCTTGGAGTGAGGCTGCACCAGTTAACTTACCATACCAGCTTTATTTATAAAGCACTTAAAAAACTTTACAGTAGGCCAAAGTGCTGTACACAAAACACAGGACAGACACTGACAATCGCAGTAGAAGAAAATACACAGTACAAACACAATACTACTACTAAAAACATTGAAAACAGTAAGTGTACAGTAAGACACTCAACAAAAAATGTACATGTCACTTGTTAAAAGCCAGTGAGAAAAGGTGCGTTTTTAGGATTTTAATACAGGTACAGGCTCGGCCTGTCTAATCTTTAATGGCAACTGGTTCCACAGTCGTGGGGCAGCAACAGAAAATGCTTACATTTAGTTTTTGGGAAGGCGAGCTGGAGCTGGTCTGCTGAGTGAGAGTGTGAGAGGGGGCGTAACGGTCAGTCAGTGAGGTAGGAGGGCGCAAGGCTGTGCAAACACTTAAAAGTAAATAAAAGAATATTAAAATCAACTCTAAAAGACAAGGAGAGCGGCTAAAATAGGTGAGATGCTCTTGTGTTTCTGGGTTCCAGTTAAAAGTCGAGCCACTGAGTTAACTTAAAATAACTAAACAGGCTAACAAAAAATAAGATCAGGGCATTTTTTCGTTGTTTGATTTTTCTACTTTTATTTTGCAAATAAATTCACTTTTAAGCATCGACATACAGTCCTGCCTCGTCCAGTGCTGAACATTACAATCTGTCTATCTAATATATAAATGATACTCACAGCCAAATCGTCATCTCTGTCTGGGGAGAGCAGCAGAGGGATGATAACCTGACTGCGATAAGACGGGGTCTTCTCATTCTTTAGAAGTTTGTTGATGGTGTTGAGCTGACCGGACAGCAGGGCAAAGTTGTCCAATACTGACGGCCTGTGAAAAGGGCAACAAGCTCAATGATATAATGATAAATCTTCCTGCATAGAAAACTTCTTCACAACTATAAGATAAAATTATAAAAATCAATATACATTTTAATAACACATAGATACATTCTTGTGATCATTAGTGTGCCGCCCTCCCTACCCGAGTGTGTCTCCTGTCTGTGTGTGTGCTCTAGACTGTGTGTTTTTTCTCATTGTGTACATCGTGGTTATGGTTGTTAGTGTCTGTTTGTATTCTCACTGCCTTTTAATTGAACTGTAATTGAACAACTGCACTTTTTTGTATAATTGTGTTTTTAAGGTGACCACGTTTACCACCGGTCCCGGGACTACAGATGAAAAATAGCTTCTCTATCTAATCTACACTGTCCCTGTTAAATAAACCAAATAAACAAATAATAAAAAAGCGTGCATTAAATCAGAGTTTGTGTGGAAGATGACAACAACCAGCGCTTAAAGATTGTATTAGTCCAGGATATCCAGTCTGGCAGAAGAGTTCTGCAGTACTCCTTTAAAGGTTGTATGGAGGATTTTTTTTTGTTTCAAATTGTCAGTGAAAGTTTAAAATACCATTACAGAGACGCAGCAGCCTTGTAATTATGATGACCAAAAAAAAAAGAAAAAAAAGAATGAAAATCTATCAACTGTGGACGTAGTGAGGCTAGATAAACATCAGCCAATAGACAACAAGGCTCCCTCTTTATCTATTGGCTGTTAGGTTGTCAATCAAACTCCCTACGTTTCTAGTGTAACTGACTCACCGGCGTGCGGGAATTATGTGGCTTATGCAGCGGTTCTTAGAGGCTTTTTCAAACTGTAGCTTCCTCGCAATTCACAAAGTTTGTTCCGATGGCGGACGAGAATCCACGACCTGTTCGCCGCAAAAGAAAGGCGTTTTTTGAGGTCGCTGAAATAAGAAGAGAAGGGGAAAAGGAGCAAAGCCAAACTGAGGTGATTCTTGGAGATTCTTTCCAGCGATGGCGCGACTGAAGCAGACGAAGGGTCTAAAAACTGACGCGTCAGTTGCTAAATTACTTCTTAACAGGTCACTTCAACAGTAATTCTGAACGCGCACCGGCTGTAAACAAGCGTGATTTCTAGAGTAAAGAGGCAGGAGGAGATGGTTCTACTGAGGGAGCTGTGGAGGAGGAAGGTGGTGTCACGCATGCACAACATTTGAAAAAGGACTGTTGCTGTATTTCTCTTCCCTTAAAAAATCCTCTATACAAGCTTTAACGTCTGAGTTCCTGCTTGTCTCTATGGTAATTTCATTATTTTGTCTGGAATGTTCCAAAGTATGGCATTAAACCTATCAATCTACTAGGAGAATGATATAGCACTGTCAAGTCAAGTTATAGACCGCTTGGATAGTAAGAATGCATGTTTTGAGTATTCTGAGCTGTAAAAACACTTTTAATTTAATCAATACACAACAGCGAAGTTTAAAGTCATATTGTGGAACATTACAGGAAAAGCAATGGCAGACCCCTCATCAGAATAGTGCACCTTTAACCCTTTTGAATGATAAACTAGCAAACTACACAGTCATAAAAGACTTGTGCATGATACTTTGTCATCTCTTACCATGTTAATCTGTCGTATTCATTCTCTAACTTGTAAATAAAGCTGTGCAGAGCGTTTTTGACGTGAGCTACTCGAGAAATAAGCGACTCCACAGACGCCTCCAGCTGTTTCTCTTCACGCTGCTGCAAAAGTAAAAGCACAGTTCACATTCACAAGAGCGGAAAAGAGTGTGAAATTAAAATGATTCGTTTTAAAATGTAAAATCAACATTATTTCGGTGTTTACCTGCATGGTTTTGTTAGCTGAGTGCTATGTTTTGTTGTCCTGGAGCTTGCCGTAAGTAGGAAGTATCGTCGTATTTTGTGCCTAGCAGGTCGCCACCTAGTGTGTGGGAGGATGTAATAACAGGAGAGCGTGTTCTCATTTTAATATTTTTAGTAGTTTATTTTGATCGGTTATTAAATTGTGGAAGTTTTTTAGGAACAATTTAATCTATTTTTGTAGCTACTGTTATTGACTCTAGACCTAAAGTAGAGGTGGGCAGTTCATTGTTCATTTTGGAAGATAAACTACTCAAATGTTTTTGTATATTCTCAAAAAACAAACAAAACATTGTGATCATCATTGCAGGGATAATAGTGCCCTGAAAATTAAAATGTTGCAATGTTTCTGTTATAAAATTCATAAAAATAAACTTAATTTTATTTAAATAGCTTAAAAATATATTTAATTTGACAATAAATAACAAGGTCTTTATTACACTCTTACTTTAAAAATGTGAAACTCAAAGATTTATGGGAAAAGCACATTGATTAGTTGTTGAAAAAGAGGCAGAAAACGAAAAATACTTGTTAATATAATGAATAATGAATCGAAATCTAAAATTAGAACTTGCCCAAAAGCTAAAATGAATGCGAGTCTTGTCGTTCATTTCAGGGGTGCAACAATAATCAAAAAATACATTAAGAAATAAAATAAAATAACTACTAATGCTGCATAAGTGTTCATAGTATTAACATTTCTGTTCACTTTAATGACAGGCTTTTATCATTGGTTTTCGAGTACCAGGAACACTAGTGTGCCTTGAAATGCTGCCAGTTGTACCTTGGAATAAAGTCCAATTTCTGTTCATTCACTAATTTAACTGAAAGATTTATACTTCTGAAGAGTCATGAGCAACTTTTGAACTAGTCGAGGGAGCAAAACAATCACCGTTACCAAAAAGAAAACAATAAAAAAAAAAAAAAAACCAGACACAAGGGTGAAGAAAACAACTGCACCATTTTTGCTCTAAATTGTAATTTGGTCATATTTTAGTGTGTGCCAAGGATTTTTTTAAATGAAAAAGTCTGCTGCGACTCAAAAAAAAGTTGAAAAACACTGGCCAATATAAGACAATTTAGTTGTTTGGAATTTTCTTAAGATACAAAAGTAAACATAGCTTAGTAATTGTCATGCTTATTGGGAAATGATTAACATGCTTATAGTTAAAAATCAAGTCGCAAAATGTACCTTCATCAGTCATAAATAACACAGAAACAATAGGAAACAATTTTCTTTTATTCTGTTACAAAAGCCTGGTCCAGTAGCAAAAGCAGCATGGTAAAAATGTGGTGAATTCAGCCTCAGGTTAATTATAGTGCATTATGCAACTAAATGTATTTAACCAAGTGCTAAAGTTTTATTCACATACTGTATGGGACAACATTCTTCGTCAAATTTAGAAGATGCTCTCTACATCTCCCATTTCCACAATAACAGACTTGAGCTGGGAGTAATACTCGATTGTCACTTGACCGTTCTCTCTGCCGAAGCCTAGGAAAAGAGGGGGAAAAAATTATAAAAATAAAAATCAATGGACTTCAAAACTAAATGGAAGAAGTGGTGATCCATTCTAGTCAGTGGGCCACTCAACTCATTGCCCAATAAACAGTTTTATTTCAAAAAATATATACATTAAGCAAAACTAAATCATTTTATTCATATAAAGTTGGGATAACCTACAACCCTACATCCCCAATAAAATGAAACACCATTTTAAAATCAGTAAATGAATAAGCACACAAAAGTCTAATAAAGTGATTATTTTTAATACAACATTTTGGATAAGACATACCTGAATGTTTGTAGCCTCCAAATGGCACTTCAACAGGGCTGATGTTATAGTTGTTGATGAAGCAATTTCCAGCTTCTAGGTTTTCTGCCACACGATGAGCTCTGGAAATGTCCCTAAAAGAAAACAGAAAGTATGTTCTATCAGGCACAAGTACCGTATTTTTTGGACTAAGTCGCACTTTTTTTCATGTTTTGGGTGTTTCCTGTGACTTATACTCCGGTGCGACTTACATATTAAAATATTCAGACTAACAGCCACGATAAGGCACTCTAGGCTTGTGTATCAGTTTTCTGTGCATGTGTCCTGCAGAAAAAGCCGCTGTCCTGTTGCAAGTAGTGAAATATGCAGCAGAAAACGGTAATTGAGCAGCAGAAAGAAAGTTTGGAGTGAGCGAGAAACTTTTGAGGGACTGGCAGAAAGCGGGGATGGAGAACACAGCTTCATGGCAGCTGGGAGGGTGCACCATGTAACTGTCCTGGAAGTCACTGGATGACAAAGCATTGACTTCAGTGACAACCGAAGTTGCGCGGAGTTGCTCAGAAGTGACACCGAGGATGAAAAATTCAATGGATTCAATGGATTTAGTGATGTGGAGTGAGATCGAGAGTTTGGTAAACTTATGTTCTGTTGTTTATGCTATAGTTATCAGAATAATTGTTAATATGTTACGTTAACATATTAACGCCTATTCAGCCTGTTCTTTATTCTATTGTTATTACTATAACTTAAAATAATGCCTTTCAAGATATCGGTTCCTGGTCCCTACCTTTTTAAAATAAATTTCCCCCAAAAAGTGCGACTTATAGTCCGGTGCGACTTATATATTTCTTTTTCTTCTTCATTACGCATTTTTTGGCTGGTGCGACTTATACTCCGGAGTGACTTATAGTCTGTAAAATACAGTATACAAAGTATAAATACAATAAAATTTACTTTTCCCAAGTGTCATTACTGAGACCTTTGATATAAAATGTAGATTAATATGGTTAGTGTTGTACCCCGAACACTCTCATCTAATCTCCAAGTTCAAAGAGCACATGTAATAAACCGTTGTATAACTGGGTATCCTCGACACTGACCTGGTGAAAACTCCTGAGGCCAATCCAAAGGTTGTATTGTTAGCTCGTTTGATCACCTCCTCTTCAGTGTCAAAAGCCAGCACAGACATCACCGGGCCAAAAATCTCCTCCTTCACACAAGTCATGTCGTCTCTGCAGTTATCTGTGAACAGTGAAATACACTGTGTGAATGACATGGTACAAGAGGATGTACTTAGAAAGAGCAGAGAATGTAATGTAATGAAGTGTTAAAAGGCCCTACATTGTGAAATATTTCGACTTTTAACTTTGGACATATTAAGTTTTTTGGTATAACATGTAGTACACTGTTGTACACCTCTTGTATATAGCAGAGATATTTTACTAGTATTACTTATTTCAATTTTATTTTATTTTAACTTGTACATACACATTTATATAATTATGCCTTATTTGCAGAGGTGGGGACTTGCAAGTCGTGACTTGAGCTCGAGTCAGACCTGAGTCACTATTTTTAGGACTTGAGACTTGACTTGATAAAATGGTCTAAGGCTTGGGACTCAACTTGGACTTGAGGGTCAGTGACTTGGGACTTGACTTGGACTTGAGGCCTGTGACTTGAGAAGACTTGAGAAGCACTTGTAAATCTGAATTCTTTCTATTCTGACCATAATGATTCACACTAAGATTTTGTCAAGACATTTCAAGTTGAAAAAATAATTAAATTAATTTCTACAACTCATATATACTCCATAAATACTGAAATATAAATATAATATGATTTTTTTAAGTACAATTTATCTTAAAATTCATATAAACTGCAAAAATCTAAGCTGAGGCTTTGGTTTAAAGACTTGAAATGACTTGAAGCTCAAGGCAGACGACTTAGACTTAACTTGGACTTATGGGTCACTGACTTGAGACTAGACTTGGACTTGCCTGTATTTGACTTGAGACTTACTTGAGACTTGCAAAACATAGACTTGGTCCCACCTCTGCTTATTTGACACCAGTCTCTTTCTATTTTTGCTACTTAATTAGAATTCATTATTACCATTTATATATTTTGTCTTTATTATAACATATTGTGATGTGTGAGCTACTGTGTCCAAGTAATTGCTCTTATCAATAAACTTTGTCTAAGTCTAGTATAACTTTAAATAATTTATGTCAGGAAAATTACATTCGTATTAACCCAAAAACAAGGAAAGCTTGCTTAGTAGATGCTAGGCTGTGTATTGGTGGAGATCTGAGCACAGAAATGATCAAAGTCTGATGAGGTATAATGGATTGAGAAAGAAGAACCAGTATGCAGGTTAACACAAATCTGTAAATGAAACAAAACTACTACAACATAATAACATGGCTGAATGTAGTTTTTAAACAATAGCATACCTAATACACAGGGTGACATGAAATAACCGCCTTGGAGTTTGGGATCGCTGGGGACAAAAGGCTCTCCTCCACAAAGCACTTTGGCTCCCTACAAAAAGAATAGCAGTTTAAGCCAATAAAAATGAATAACAATTTCATAATCATATCCAATAATCTATAAACCACAATATTTTTAAAAAATTCAATATAATGCGATAATTTAGTTACTTTTATTTTATTCTACTTGTATAAATGCATATCTGAATCTGTACATTATCTGACACGTCTTACCTTTTTTGCTACTTTAATGATTTTAAATTTGAGTACTTTTTTCACCTTTTATACCACAAATGGACCACTGAACAACACCTGGCCCTCCACGAGAGCAATACACACCTCCTTCTTGGCCTGTTCCACAAAGCCCAGCACTTTCTGCAGGTGAGGTTTACTGATGAGAGCTCCCATCCGCGTCTCGTCCTCCAGAGGATCACCCACACGAATGGCTTTGGTCCTCTTCACCACCTCCTCCAAAAACTGAGGCAAAATCTCTCTCTGCACGAACACTCTGGTCCCGTTACAGCAAACCTTTCAATCAGACCAAAGCAGATATGATTGCTTATAAGCGGGGACATTTCACTTACCCAAATATAGGGTTAAGGTTGTAGAAATAATGAATTGTCTTGTTTGGAGTACAGAATTATGTCATATTTTCATAACATAGTATGAGGGTGGAAAGAACAAAGTCATTCATCAAAGTTTTGTGAGTTAGGAGTAGTAATATAGTATTACTAAGTAGTAATCCAAGAAATTACTCAAGTAAGAGTAACTGACTTATGAAACAGCTGATGAATACATTTAAAGTGACAGATATTCTTGCTTGTAACATTGTAAATTCTTTGCCTGGTTTTATGGTTATCATATTTTAAAACTATTTACTTCTAACATTATTTGACTAGGTTAGAAATTTTGTAAACAGGTAAGACTTACCTCTCCTTGTGTGAGGAAGTTCGCCATGAGCACCTTTTATGGCATTCTCCAGTTCACAGTCTTTGAAAATAATGAGAGGAGATTTTCCCCCGAGCTCCAAAGTTACCTGCTTCACTGTTTTGGAGGACATCTCCATCACCTGAGGACAGAGTTAATCAGAAACAACAAAGTGGGTTATTGTGGCACTGGGGACTTTGTGGATACAACTTAAAGAAAAAAAGATTTAATGCCACGTAGAGACAATACAAGGGTTTCAAAATGATGAGAAATGAAAAATCCTGCCGTAGTGATTAACAATTTGAATCTTTTGAGTGGGAAAAAGTAATGAAAATGTTGTATAACAGGAAGCTGAATAGACTGAGTTCACATCCTAAAAATCACATGGGTTTGTACAGTGGGATTTGCTCTCCAACTGTCAGACTGCAAATTGGTTGATCCGTTTTATGGTTAATATCTCTGCAAGTTTTTGTTTCATGTGGAGACAAGCCCCAGTAATTACAAAGTTCAACGTATTCTCTGTGAACATAAACAAAGAAAAACTTCAAAGTAGTTATTCAACGTGAAAAAATTAATTGCCAGGACTAAGCTATAAGATCAACATGGCAAGTGTGTGAAGCCAATCCCTCAGTATTTTGTAAGTTTTTGAAAGAAATATCCACAGTGATGATGTTTTATAGACCTACAATCTGAATTTATGACCTCATGAAATTCTACTTCCCATCAAAGCTCTCTGCAAGATCTGAAATTCTATTAACACGGCTTTCCATGTAAATAATCATCCCGTGTGTTGTGCACCTTTTTGCCAGTAGGCACACTGCCGGTGAAGGAGACTTTGGCGACCATGGGGTGCTGACAGAGGAGGCTTCCGGTCTGAGCTGCTCCCTGCACCACACAGAAGAGGCCGTCCGGGACCCCAGCCTCTTTGTAGATCTCAGCCAGTATCACAGCCGTCACAGGGGTCATGGGGGATGGCTTGAACACCATGGCGTTACCTAAAATTGAGATTTTTCTGTCTATTACTAATGCTCCCTCCATGGGCAAGTTTGTTAATAATTTTGTACATAAATTTACAAATGGACTCTTTGAACATATGTAATATTTCAATGACAACTCAGCAGAGATTTGGGAAGTTTTGTATAATACTAATACTTTCCAGTGACAGCACGCTGGGGTGTTATCCATGCTTATCTATGGTGGAATGTTCAGCAGTCAACATGGTGACAGTAGAAACATTAGCACTGTAAGAAAAGTTTTTAAAAGAATCCTGATCTCACCACAGGCCAGAGCAGGGGCAGACTTCCAGGCTGCGATCTGGAAAGGGTAGTTCCACGCCCCGATGCCCACGCACACACCCAGAGGCTCCCTTCTGGTGTAGGCAAAGGCTCCTCCGGGAAGCTGAATGTGCTGACCTTTTAAAAGAGGAAAAGCCAATACAGTGAAGATAGAAAAGATACAAAAACATGAAGTCTATCCAGCTGGTTTTGCAACTGAATTTGATCCTTGCAAAAAACTGTTGTGTTAAATATGTCATTGGTATATATCTTCATCACCATTTTATGAGCAACATGTAACAGGCAGTCAGCTGAACAGAAGAGTGTTTTTAAGCTCAAGACTTAAACTTGTATCAAACCTGCAAGAGTTCCAGCCAACCCTGCGTAGTACTCAATGCACTGCCAGGCAATATCGATGTCCACCAGAGCCTCAGTGATGGATTTGCCATTGTTGATCACCTCCAGCTTTGCAATCTTTTCCCTTCGTTCCTGTTCACACATTTCATACAAGGGATAGTAGTTAGTAGTTATCTTACTAGGGTTGGACAAAATGGTGAAACATGAGCGTTTCTCTGTGGCAATCTGCTTTTTTGGGTCAAAATTGCATCGCGTTTGATGAATTTTCTCCTAAACGCAGCCCAAAGACACTTTTTCCCACCCACAGAGTATTGATAAGTCTCAGCAAGACTCTGACTGATATGTGAACTTTAAGAAGCAGGTGACTGTAAAAGGCAATAGCAAAGGTTTACAAATTTACATGAAGCGCGATAAAATTGTGATCTGGCTCCAAGAAAATTAATATTTCATTTTGGCATACGGCCTACCCATATATATTACAGTTTCTACATGTATATATGAGTTGATAGATGCATTTTTATTACATTAGAAGTCTGTTTCTGGATACGGTTCACACGCATAAAACAATGAGTATTGATAAAAGTAGGTCACTGGTTTATAGTCAGGGTGGTTTAATAAATAACTAGAAAGGTCTTGCATTACTATTGTGCAACGTCGCAGATTTAGTGACAGGGTTCCTCTTTTTCACTGACAAAATTTCAAAACTTTTCCATGACTTTTTCATGACCTAAAGTGAGTTTTTCATGTCTTTACGGTGCCCTACATGTGTAAAACTGATCATACATTTAGAGCTAAATATGAAATGTTAACCCTTTCCACTCGCTTTATGGTTTGGTATTATAGTTTTTTTTACATTCAAAATACTGTCAGTGCATTTATTGTCGTCTCTTTTAAACAAAAGGCGCATACGTTCAGAAATAATCATAATAGCTTAATGATAACTTAACAGAACGTGAAAGAGATACTATAATTCTATGACTTTTCCAGGCCTGGGAAATTACATTTTAAATTTCCACGACTTTTCCAGGATTTCCGTGACAGTGGGAAACCTTGAGTTAGGGATTTGACAATAATGGTCATGTGGTGTGACAAGATACGGTCTATTTTATTTGTATTTATGAGCTACTGAGTGCAACTACAATTATAAAATATTGTATTGTAATTACTGATAATTCAACTTGAATTATTGTTAGTTGCTTAGGCGATAATATAGCCGTACCCTGATAATTCGTGCAGCCTCCAGCATCACCCGTGCTCTTTCCATCCCTGCCTTCTTCCTCCAGATCAGGTAGGCCTCATGGGCACTTTTAATGGCCTCGTCCACCTCCTCAGCTCCACATGGGTACATCTGGCACAACACCCGGCCTACAGAAAAGCAAAATATTTTATATGGCTGAATAAATGATGATAGGCAGAATGGAGATACAGAGTGTAGAGTAGACAGAAGACATCCCAATGGACACAGGTATCAATCACTATTAATAAAACACACAGAATGTAGTAAAACAAAATAAACTTAAAATAAATTTGCTTTCATCACCACTTTGCACTCTAGTCATTTCTTGACCCTGACAAAGTGAAAACCATTTCAGGTGACTTCATCAGGAGGATCACTGGGGAAGGTCAAGAGTTCGCAGTGTTTTCAACAAATCAAAAGGTAGCTACACAATTCCCCATGCAGCATATATGTTGTGTCTTCTTTATATAACAGGGGTCTACAACCTGTAGCTCAGGAGCTAACAGTAGCTCTCCACCCCCTTCCAAGTAGCTCGCCAAGGGATTTCTGAATCATACATAATGTGCTGAATAAGTCAAATTTGATTGATTAAATGCCTTTTGCCCTTGTGCCCTTATCATTTTGATGCCTGTACACTAATAGTTAAATGTTTAATGGTTGTATGGATTATGTTTTATGTTTTATAGGCATCTAGCTGTACCTCATCCAAGGCTTGCCATGGCTCTTTTATATGCTCATTTTTTTCTGACCACTAAAATGTGGAACTCTCTGGTATTTTTGTTTTGTTAAGAGTAACTCACTAGAGGACAAAGGTTGGAGACCCCTGCTATATAAAATGTAAACATTTGGTAAACTTTTAAGAAACAGACATTGAAAAAGGTGTGTCCAAACTTTTGACTCCCATAGAGAAGGCAAAGCATTTGTGTTGGAACATAACGTAAAATATCTAACAGCCAACAAAATGCATCTGTAAGTTCAAATAATGCATAGAATCGCTCTACTGATGAATATTGTCCTACATTAAAAATTCAAAGACTAATGCACAGTAGCATTCTTTTGGGGAGGTATACGTTACACAATATTTTTTTTCTATAGGGTTTCAATGAGAATAGAATACTTTTTTTAACTGTAAAACATTATCCCTAAGAACCTCTCATACTGTTTTCTGCATGTTTGAATGCCTCTCCTCCTGGGACTAAAGCCCGCCAAAGGCCCTGGGCTGTAATCCAAGTTATGCATGACATTATGTGATTTGTTGTCCATTTGATCTGAACAACCCAGGCCAGAGCTCCTCCTTCCATCAGAGTGGTCTCAGTTGCATAATACGAACAGAAAGTCTCTTTAGTCACTTGTAGTACATTAGGTTCCATGTAGAGATCCAAAACCGTACGACTATTTGTCCTAAAAAGTACAAAGACTTCTCTATGTAAAACGTTTCATAAACTTTGCAAATCATTCCACTAGTAAGTCATGCAATCAAGCGGAGCTCGGTATTATTCAGTTACATTTACTTGAGTAACTTTGTACTTTTCTAGCACTTTTACTCCTGCTAAAGTAATACATTTGACAGAGCAACAGTACTCTTATTTGAGCAATGACAAAAGCTTTAAATGTTAAAAGCTGTTCCATCTCAAAAGTTACTCAATAGTGTAGTTGTTTACCCTGTTGTTACTCCTTCAAATCTCTTCTGAATTTTTTTGTACTTCTACTTGAGTAATATTATTTTGAGTACAATTTTGTGGCTACCCACCTCTGCAATCAAGCATTCTAATAAATAAAAGAAGTAGGCTTAGGGTGACTAGATTTTCAAAATTAAAAACTGGGTCACAACCGGGTTGGGATGGTAGGTATAAATAAAACTGTGAAAAAAGCATGTAGCATTGTCCATTCTCGACTCACGTGTGGGTCACTGTATAATCTGAGACAAAATATAGGTGCACAGTCGTTTGTATTTTGGCTAAACAAATGCAATATATGATCCTCTGGTTTAGAACTGATATTGCACTATTTCAGCCCAAATTAAGTCCTGGTTAAGTCCTGGTTAAGACCTGGTTAAGACCTGGTTAAGACCTGGTTAAGACCTGGTATATACCTGGTATAGACCTGGTATAGACCTGGTATAGACCTGGTTTAGACCTGGTTTAGACCTGGTTTAGACCTGGTTTAGACCTGGTTTAGACCATGTATAGCCCTGGTATAGCCCTGGTTTGGTCCTGGTTTTGTCCTGGATTTGTCCTGGTTTTGTCCTGGTTTAGACCTGGTTTAGACCTGGTTTAGACCTGGTTTTGTACTGGTTTCGTCTTGTTTTAGTCCTGGTTTATACCTGGTATAGTCCAGGTATAGTGTTGGTATAGCCCTGGTATAGCCATGGTATAGACCTGGTATAGACCTGGTATAGACGTGGTTTAGTCCTGGTTTAGATCAAACTGGTCCAAAATAGGGACACTTGGACAAATAGGGACACTGGGACAAATCACTGGTTTTGGATAAATCTGCTGGGACAGGGGACACGAGGCTCAAAACTGGGACTGTCCCGGGTAAATGGGGGCTTCTGGTCACCAGAGTCGCCTCCATTGCTGTGTGCGCACTTGTTTACATAACTGGCATGACTGACCCGTGGCTGGTTCGTAGACTGGCTCTGCGTCTGTCTCTTGTCGGGGCTTCACTCTTTTCCCTCCCCAGAAATTGAGGTGGTCCGTCACAGACACAGTCCCGGTACACGCTCCAGGCATCGAGTCGAGAAGAGATTGGGCCATTTTGCCGGGTAGTACCTGCAAAATAAAACAATAAAAGCGTGGAGAAACTGCTACCGTGTCTCAAGCTTACGCGATGCTAACGGGGCTAAGTTGCAGCGACCATGTTTTAGAAAGCTAAGACAAAGGAAGTAGGAAGAAATGCTAAAGATATAAGGTAGAAATAAAATGTACAATGCTTTACCTTTGCTGCTCTTGCTAAAGGACTGACTTGACTGAAGAAACGGGTGAGTTTTATATGTTTTACGCCCCCTTCGAATGACACGCCTCCTGTGGGTGCGCCTGCTGGAGCTGGGCCAATTTGGGCGTAATGGATGTAATCTAAAGACAAACGAGGGCAGAAAGAAACACCAGTAATGTGAGTTTTGTTTAAGTTTGTACCTTATGTCAGATATGATTAATAGACAAGTGTAGGCTAATTTTGTATTCAACAAAAAGGAATTTTAGTAGCCTACAGTCTTTATTTTTTAAAAGGTATTACAATCACAATTGGACAGACATAATATAATGTGCATATAAAGGATATATACAGGTTTTTTTCTCATTCTCAGTGGACTGGTTGTGTCTCATGTGAAAGCTAAGAATCTCCAGAATTCACTTGCTGAGCTGCAGAGGCTGCACTAGCACTGATGTTACACCAGCCTGTCAAAGCCTGATCCTGTCAGATCTCAAAAGCTCTGGCCTGGTTAGGACTTGGATTGGAGACCGCTGGGAAAATCAGGTGCCACAGGGGGATGCCAGTCACCAGAACTGTCGCTGTGTCCTTAGGCAAGGCACTTCACACACATTGCCTGTGGTCGGAGGGGCCAATGACGCAGATTGACAGCCTCGCTTCCATCAGTCTTCCCCAGGGCAGCTGTGGCTACAAAAAGTAGCTTACCACCACTGCGTATGGACTGAATGAACAATGATCTGTAAAGCACTATTTAAAATGTATATATTATTAGTGCTGTCATGCGATTAAAAAAATTGAGAGACTAATTAATTATGATCTGTAATTAATTAATCTAATTAATCTCATTTTAATCTCACCTAAAAATTGCTGAGAAAAGCCTTCAATTTGAGGTATTTTCATTTAAATTCATTATTACATTATTGTGGCAGATCAAAAGACTGATATAGATTTAAAAAAGTGACTTTATAAAGTCATTTATTGTTCAACAAATCTCTTCAATTTGGCTGTTGAGCCCAAGTCTCCATGAATAAGAAACTGTTTGCTGTAAAGTAGCAAAGACGAGGAAATCTGAACATAATAACTTTTAGACCTGGTTTAGTCCTGGACTGGATTAGTCCTGGTTTTAGTCTTGGTGTTAGTTCTGGTTTAGAGGCGCACAGGAGGAAGCGCGGTTTACGCAGCGTACGCGAGAAAACACGATCCACACGCGGCTCACGGGAGCACGTCGGTGTCCGCGCAGTAACTACGGAAGGAAACGTGGTCCGCGCGTTCTCAGGTTAATGACGATGATGAAGGTCTGTGTTTGTTTGTGTTTGTGTTTGTGTGTGTCTGTGTGCGTGTCCCCTCATGTGGCAGGTCACTATAGGACAGTAGTGCAGACATCATGAGTCTATGCAGGTTGTTTTCACCAGTGACATTTAAGTTGTAGGCGTATATTTGTTATTTTCTTTTATATTTCACGTCGGGAGAATAATTTCCAAAACACGAATGCGTTTTTACCTGTGCACTGCTGACTCTGTTCTACTGGCTGTTCGACCTCGTCCATTGTGCGACTGACGCCGCCAATGTGACATTTACATCGCTCTTACTGCGTGTGTTTTTTTTGTGTGTGTGTGTGCTGTTGTCCCAACAACACATAAAAACAGGTTTTATAATAAAGCAACTCGCATACAGAAACAGTAAAGTTAGAGATTAAAAATTAGATTAACGCGATTAAAAAACATAACGCGCTAAATATGACTGTAATTAATTAATCGCAATTAACGCGATAATTTGACACCCCTATATATTATTATCCTTTATTATTATTATTCATGATGGCTGCAGGTGCAGGATTTCAGCACTGGATAATAGTTTTGAGAACCTAATCACCAAATTATAACATAAATAATTTGGCCATCATTTCCAATGTTTTTGTAAGGAAGAATAAATCAGTAGAATAATTGTTATCAGTAAAAGCTATATTTGATTTGAACATGTTTACATCATATTTGGAGACACAGATAGGTTTTATGTTTATGGAATGAAACATTTAAATTGTACATACAGTTTAAGAGTTTCTTTCAAAATAGAAATTCACAAAAGTTCAATAACACGTCAGTGATTGTCAAACTTTTCACACTATGGACAAAGAAAATATGAAGCTCTCCGAGTACCGCCAGAAATAAACCAGGTCTACACCTGGTCTGAAATATACAAGGTCTCAAGTTTAATCTCAAGTTTCATGCTTGATTAGTTCTAAACTAGAACTAATCTTAAATCTTGTGGATAAAACTCTAAATGGAACAATCACAACTACAGAGGACATTGTGTACCACCAAAAGCAGCCCATACACCACTATTTCAAAATCACATATTATTGTTGCAAAATAAGCTATTTCAACACATTATAATTTCTATGCAGGGTGAGATCTAAAATTGTACTACAATAAATAAATCAGACAATAACAACTCATTCATGATATTTTCACTCATAAAACTTTATTAATATTAGCATTTAGATATAAACTGTGGCTAACAATAATACTGGCAAATTGTTAATTAAAAGTAAATCTCAAAACAATCATGTCCTGAAGCAACCTAGACACACATTTCATTTGAAAATCAAATAATTAAGAACCTTTCTCCATATAATTTAAATGTGAAGTCAATACAAAATTTTAAATAAACTGATGAAGGGTTATTTTACAGTAAAAGAACACTATTTTGGTTCCATTTGTGACCAAAAGAGGGAGTCTTGGCTGCATAAAGTCACTGTCAGAGAAGAAAAAGGGACATTCAACCATGAACAGATTTGTTTAAGAAAATTTAGCAGCTTGTGGAGGGGGTCCCAGAAATCCTCCAGCCTGTTTAGTGGCAGCTCTGGATGGGGCAAGACCAAGCATTTTCTGGATATTCTGGGAAAGAAAAACATTGAAAAATACATTGAAAGTTACAAAAAGTGTTTGAAAGAACAGGCAGTTTGAATTCACTGATTTAGACCTACTATTTCATCAGTATCAACTGGTTATTTCTCATTCATATAATTCAATTTAAATTATGTTTTTTATTTTATTTATTTTTACCAATATCCTATATTTGTCTTGCTGTTGTCGCTGACGGCCGATATTTGCCGAAACTGATATTAAGTTTTTAAAATCTATTTTACAGACACAAACTAGGACAGTGCAGAAAAAGTATTGGAGCTAAATATCGGCAAAATTTTCAATATCTGACAGATACCAATATCTGGGGAAATCCACCGATACTGCCGATATACCATCCCTAATATAAATGTCAATCATAAATGTCTGCGAGCTGGTTATTCTGATCAGAAGATTCTGACAATGCAAGTTACCTGTCGAATGGACATGGTGCAGAGGATGTAGAGGAAAATGAAGGAGCAGTCGGTATAGTCTTCTCCCAGCAGGTTTCTGTGGGACAGACCCTGGATGTAGGACAGCGGCACAAAGGGTAGTTTGGCCACCACTCTCCCGTCAAATCTGAACAACAAACAGCAATAAGTATCAAGTTTTATGCAAGACTGAGAGGAGTTATTTAAGGCATAGTATCATCAGCAAATAGTGTACTTTATCATTATCTTACATAAAATAGATGACCAAAGCATTTGAATCAACTTACATAGAGTTGAACATTCCCATGAGAGCTGTAAAGCAGAACCCAATGGCAAACATGGACTTCATGCGCACCTGCAAAGAGAACATAACAAAAATGAGAAATTGTAAAGCAAAATTAGGATGCAATATCTGTAAAACACTGCATTTGTATTACAGTAATAATAAAACTTACCATAGACAGGTCTCGATTGTTATTCTTAAGCTTCTCCTCTTGTCTCTCTGAAGAAGTACATGGAGTGTAGAGAAATTAGTGTGGATTAGGGGTGTGCAAAAATACTGACATATCAATATATCATACTGTTTAATGTGATGATACAGTATTGATATCGGGGAATGCTGTATCAATATATATCGCCAAGAGTATTTTTGGTATATTTTACTATATTATTTTGTTACAGCTCTACAGTTATGTTGTTTGTTTAGAGGAAGGAAACACTGTGTGATGATTAAAATGTGTGTTTCATATTAATTTTGCACAAGATGTTATTTAAGAAAGTCTTTTAGTATCACAGCCATAATTTAGCCAGTATTTTTTACTGAACTGTATCAAATCGATTTGAAATGTATCGAACCAAAAGTGCACCGTATCGAGATATGTATCGTGTCATGGCCTAGGTATCAAGGTAAGTATCGTATCCCCAATTTCTTAATGACACCCAGCTCTAGTGTGGACATAGCTAAATAAATGTATTGTTAGTTGCTGGTTTTTGTTCTCACCAATCTTCTTCTTTTGTTGACGTCCTGCAGATTCTGTGATGGTTTCCTTTTTCTTCTCAACTAAAAATAATATACAAGTCAATTTTATGCCACGAATGCAACATAGCAGATCTGTTCTATTAGTTACACACTTACGTTTTTTACTTTGCTTTTCCACCTCTGCCTTTAGCCGCTTGTACTTCTCTGTCCTATAAACTAGCACCCATGTTATGCCTTAAAAATAGGAAAGACATATATTACCACAATTAAACACACATGAACTAACAACAGATTAAGACACTGGTTATACTGGAGAATTTTCTTGTTCATCCAGAAGATATTTTAGTCTACCCAAAGAAATACATTATAGCTGATGTTCAGTGTTGGGGAGTAACAGATTACATGTACTGGAGTTACGTAATCACAGTACAAATTATGAGAAATTGTATGTGGTTACAGTTACTGTTTCAGTGAGTGGTAATTGGATTACAGTTACTTTGTTGAAATAAATGGATTACATGGTATTTTCCTGTTTTCCCGTTTTCACATTTTGGGCTATATCCCCCTTTTTATTTATTTATTTATTTTCCGGTAATTCCACTCATTGCTGGAAACTAAACTAGATCTAAACCAGGACTAAAACCAGGACAAAAAACAGGTCTAAACTTGATCTAAACTAGAGCTAAACCAGGACTAAATCAGGACTAAGACCAGGTCTAAACTAGTTCTAAACCAGATCTAAACCAGGACTAAACTAGATCTAAACCAGGTCTAAACCAGGTGTTAACCAAGAATAAACCAGGACTAAAATCAGGTCTAAACTAGATCTAAACCAGGTCTAAACCAGATCTAAAACAGGTCTAAAACCAGGAATAAACCAGGACAAAAAACAGGTCTAAACTAGATCTAAACTAGAACTAAACCAGGACTAAGACCAGGTCTAAACTAGTTCTAAACTAGATCTAAACCAGGTCTAAAACCAGGTCTAAACCATGACTAAACCAGGACTAAAACCAGGTCTAAACTAGATCTAAACCAGGTCTAAACCAGGAATAAACCAGGAATAAAATCAGGTCTAAACTAGATTTAAACCAGGACTAAAACCAGGTCTAAACTAGATCTAAAACCGGTCTAAAACCAGGTCTAAACCAGGACTAAACCATCCTAGTCTTTGCTACTCTAAGTAGTAACCCAAAGTATTCAGATTACGTTACCCACTTTAAATAACTTCACGGATTCTGTTACAAACTACATTTTGGGGTATGTAATCTGTAGGGGAATACATTTTAAAAGTAACCTTCCCAACACTGCAGATGTTTTGCAAGATCATGTACTGGGGTTCAGCATATTAGTTCACAGAGATCATGATTTCTATAATAGTGCATGGTCTTATATGTTGATCACAATTATAAATCATAAAAATCATAATAATCTCACAAGAACAATTATTAATATTAAATTATCGATAGATTCTACAGGCCATCCATTCACTTACCTTCGGCTAACAGCGCAGTGCAAACCGAGATAAACACAATCAGAATAGTGTCTGCAAACATAGTACTCATGATGATGGTTTTATATCAACAATTCCTATTCAAAACTATTAATAAAAAGCAAATTTCGAGTTATTTATGGGTGATTTACACAGCGCGCATTACACCGGTGAGCAGCCCGGCTAATGCTAGATCAGCGTAAGAAAGGTCACGCATGCGCTGGAGTATTTCCGGTTCAATAAATGACCTACTTTTGGAGACGATAAAATATAATATTTATATATATATATTTTAATATATATATATATATATATATATATATATATATATATTCAAATATACACTTTTACTATTTATTATAATATGCTGTTCAATATTTAGTTAATGTTACTATTTAATTTTATTTTTATTATTATTATTTTTATTTTATTTTTTTACACGTAAATAAATATGGATAAAGATGTGTAAGTCATGTGTTTTTGTTTAATAAATATTTATACTGTGAATAAATCATAACAAAAAAGTTGGCATATAGGCAAAAGCATAGTTCTGTTTCTGATTCACAACAATATCCCTGGATCAAGCTACACACAGAATAAAGATGTAAATCCCATAAAACATCCATATATCAACCACACGCCATCTTCCACGCCAGCATCATCCTCTTTCATCTTTATTCCGAATGGGAGGAGCATGCACACAACCACCAGCGCAGCAGAGACAGACCAGACCACAGACAGACCAGAGCAGAGACACAAATCGAGGTACAGAGCAGAGCTGTACGTATGCAGCATGGCCGGCGACAGCGACACAAAGCCGGTGGAAACGACCGACAACCACCGGGTACCCTTCCTCATCGGGGTCTCCGGGGGCACAGCCAGTGGGAAGGTGCGATTTTTAATATTTTCTTTCAATCACAAAGAAAGGGTCCTTGTGGGAGCCTATTGTGATGAGCTGTTTACGTTGTATTTTTTCTCACTCAGTAGAAAGCTTGATCTAGGTCAAATCTTCTTTTTTCCATTGACACCCTGCTTAATAATGAATTTTTTAATTGTCATATCTATATATTTTAATTGATGTTAGAGACGCCGTGTCAAATCAGGTCAAGCATGCCACAACACGTCCCTCCAGAAAAGGGTCAAATGGATATAGGCTAACGTATTCATCTCATTTAAATACATGGCCTATGCCATTTTCTTTAACATATGGACGCGACTGTAAAATGTTATAAGGCAAAATTTATGTCAATGAAGACTTTATGTTAATTGGTACCAGCTGTGCAAAAATAGATCTTTTTTTTTTTTTCATAATTTTTTGGTCACAGAAAACAGGGGCCTATATGTCTGATTTAACTAAGCCTATGTCATAATATATGGCACTACAGTACAGTGATTTCATTTAAAAGTGCAAGCTTCACGTTTATGATGCAACATTGGGAATGGAAACCTATGAGCTGCCTATGACATATGGCCCTTCAAGATCATTCAAACCTCTATTTGGTCTAGACAGGGGATATTATATGGAGTATAAATGATAGTAACTGTTATGGCTATAATATAAAACTTAGTTTTGGATAGATTGGAAGATTCAATCGGAAGATTGGAGTCTTGCTTAATACAAGAGAGATAATACAAGTCTAGAATGTCGTTTTCAGAGGAAAATTGTGTGTGTGTATGTTTTTGTGGTCTCGTACTAGTCCTTACAAGGAGTAACCCTTTGAAAACTATTCAAACATTGTCCTTTTGTCTCAGTCTTTTTTCTCATTATGATAGCTGAAATGATTTTGATAGCTTCATTAGACTGTAGTAGAAATGTATCTGTTTTCTCCTCTGCTGTAATAAAACTGTGTATACAACTCATTTGTCACACATAAACATTTTTCATGGCCAATGCTGATTTAGAATCCTCTGCAACAGATAAGGTTTTGCTTATTTTCCTCAAATTATGTTATTTCAGTTCATTACAAACTCAAAGCCTTTTTAGTAGTGTAGTTATCTCTTCACATTAAAGTGTTAAAATAAAGCTTTATGCTTATTCTTTATGCAGCTGGTCAGCCAATACAAAACACAAAACATCGGCCTCTGCTGGAGATGTAAGGACATACAGTATAAGGCTGATAGCCGGTACACTAAAAAGTGCAAATAATGGCCCGATATATTAGACAACTGATATATCGGTCTGTCTCTAATAAAAATGAAGCCAGTACCAATATAATATTTTTACAACACAAGATTGATACTTTTTTAAAGCAACTCATCATCATCATCACTAATATTTTCTTCTATATAATGAATGTAGGAAATCAAACTGATGGAGATAAGCTACAGCTGTGGACACATTATTATTTACTGCGTTAAACTGTCATAGTTTTCTGTAGAACAGAGATGCAGTAGATTTTGTTGAGCAGCTGATTGGTTCATTCAGTGTGTGGGCTGTGGTTTTAGACAGCTGTTGGTGGGTTTGACTTCCTTTTGTTTGGTATTTTTCTTCCAATTGAGTAACTGCTTATCAGACCACCTGCTCACCAACAACAGGTCTAAATATCAAACCAGCTAAAGACAAGTTTATCTTTCACTCTGGAACATTTTGTCCTACAGCTGGCAGTTCAGATCAACACTGAATCTACTAACGTTAAAGACGGACACACTTAATTGCTTGTGGCCAACTTGAGTGTAGAACTATCAGTTTTGAATCTTCTAATCAGCCATGCATATCTCAAATTATTCAGGCTTGGATAAGCACAAAATGTAGCTGGAGTTATTGGTTCTCGTCACACATTATTTGAAACTTTGACACAGAAAAAAATGTTAATGCCCGAAATCATGAAAGAAAACAAAACATACTCTCTTGTTGTTTTTTTATTAACAAGCAAAAGCATGGATGTCATTCATCTCTTGAGTGGTGTCGTTAGAGAAATGTTTAGAATTTTTAAATGTTCCCTATCTAACTTTTATGGTGAGGTGTCCGCTACCATAATTTGAGCATAAGTATTGATAATGCAAAAAAATCACATGAATAGGACAAAATTTGAGCTAGAAAATTTTTGAGCTTCATTAGAATGAATATGGGTCCTTATGTTAACTTAACGAAAGTATTATTATGTAGTTTGTTTTTTGTCTTGTGACAACACAGATCTATAATTACTATATTACTATAATTACTATTCTCACTATGAACAGGGTCACTTCTCCACAGATCTGGCATGCAACTTGGCCTGGTAGTATCACCTGCTTGTCCCCACCAAAATGCACAAGTTAAATGCCAGTAAAAGAATGACATCTCCATGACCCCCACCAGAAAAAGTGGCATAGTGCACCTTTAAATCATCATAATGCATTCCTGGTTCTTATTTTGTATTTTTTGTGCTACAGTCCTCCGTTTGCAATAAGATCATGGAGCTGCTGGGACAGAATGAGATTGACCATCACCAGAGACAGGTGGCCATCCTCAGCCAGGACTGTTTCTACAGAGTTCTGACCCCAGAGCAGAAATCCAAGGCCTTAAAGGGACAGTTCAACTTTGATCACCCAGGTAAAAACAACACACTCACTTCTTCAAGACACTTCACTATTATAGTCCAGTAATATTGGCATCCTTTTGGTATCAGTACTTTTGACAGCCTAGTTCACACCACATTAAAACCGGTATTAAACTGGGACAAAACCTGGAACTAAACCAAGACTAGACCTGGACTAGAAGATGAAAACGGTGTAAATCATGACTGAACTGGGACCAGTTCAGTACCAAACCAAGAAAAGTGCGAACGAACATTTGAAGAGTTATCTTATAGCTTAATAAAAATGGTTAAGGTTAAACAACATTAGGGCAATTCATTCCTTTTGCTAAACACTGCAAAAGGACATGTGTTTAGCACCAGATTAGTAGCAGTAGTGAGGAATTTCTGAAAAAAAATACAAATAAAAAATATGCATGGCAATGAAGGGTGCAGCATCACTAAATTTAGACCTAATGACTCTGTCTTTTCTCAGATGCTTTTGATAATGAACTCATCATTTCAACTCTGTGCGACATCAAAGCGGGGAAATCTGTTCATATACCCGTCTATGACTTTGTGAGCCACTCCAGGTAAATGTCTTGAATCTGCTATAAGATGCATACATGAGGGGAGTATTACAATAATGATATTCAGACTATATTATGTAAATGCAAATGTGTTAGAACATGTCTTTAAATGTATACTCAGAGCCTCAGGTTTTTATCAGACAATTGCAAGTACAGAAATATCACTTCATAATCTTATTTGGAAGTTTACACCATGCCTTTTCATTGTTTGTTTGCTTTTTTGCCATTTTCATTTTTACTCAGCTTGTTTTGGTGTTATGTACTCAATATACAAATGTTTGCATACCTCCAAAACAACATTCACAATATAATGTGTTTTTTTCTGTTATCTGCCCATCTCTTCTTCAAAGTTATTTCATTGTCAAAAATTCCGTACACACGATTTGGTGGGTGGGACTTAGTCAATGTAATTACATGTAATGCCATGAAAGGTTAGCCTTATTTGTGAGTATGTGTTTGGTGTTACAGGAAGCAGGAGACTGTGACTGTGTACCCCGCTGATGTGGTTCTCTTTGAGGGCATCCTCATGTTTTACTCTCAGGAGATCAGGGACCTGTTCCAGATGAAGCTGTTTGTGGACACTGACGCTGACACTCGCCTCTCCAGAAGAGGTACTAATATACAACTATTAGCCGTAACATGAATACCTCCGTCTATGTGCTGTGGTGCCTTGGGTAGGAGTTGCTTGTTCTCCTCTTGTTTGAGTGGGTTTTGTCACAAACCAGTTTTAGGATCTCAAAGATGAGTCCCTGATGGCAGTAGTCTCCTTTTTCAACTGAAGAAATGGCCTATTCTAGTGACCTCTCCTGTAATTTGGTCTGAGGTTTCACTTTCTTGTCACCATATGGATAGGTGTTTGATGGCATAGTGTGGAATATTCTTGTCAAAGTAATAACATTTCAGTGGAAACAAGCAGTTATCCATCAGAGAAGTTATATAGTGTTCCTTTAAGATTTCTATATCAAGACTTTCTTCGTTAGTCTACATTAACTATGCATACTCTGGTGAAGGTTAGTGATGACGCTTGAAGTGTAAAAATGCCCTTAAACAGAATGTGCATAGGTGGAATCTGGACCAGAAACCTGTTGTCACGAGTGCATTTTTACAATTTCATTATTTCTCGCTGTAGTTCTGCGGGACATCAGCGAACGAGGACGAGACTTGGAGAGCGTTTTGGCGCAGTATATTACATTTGTGAAGCCTGCATTTGAAGAGTTCTGTCTCCCTGTGAGTACATGTAAATAATATGTGAAATGCTGAAATTTCAGATGGAGGAGGCACTAATTAAATATATTCCAACAGGAAGGTTAAACACATTTTTTTGTTTGTAATAGGTTACTTTTAACTAATAGCATAATCCGATATATATCAGTTTCAATAATCAAGATACTGATAAATGCATTTTGTTATTTTACAGAAGTGTTAATTTGTGATCTATACTCCAATTAAAGATACATTTGTAGGCCTTCATATGGATTTTAAATACTAAATATCAGATTGTGCAAATATTGGTAATCGGCCACAGTAGCAAAGCCAAATATCAGATATCGGTAACAGCTCAAAAAATCCATATTGGACGTTCCCTACGGATAGCCAGTGAAAACAAAATGAGAATTGAGTTTATGTATACTAAAAACAATTTTAAAACACAACAAAGATATGATTTAAATTTTCTCTCTCTCTCTCTCTCTCTCTCTCTCTCTCTCTCTCTCTCTCTCTCTCTCTCTCTCTCTCTCTCTCTCTCTCTCTCTCTCTCTCTCTCTCTCTCTCTCTCTCTCTCTCTCTCTCTCTCTCTCTCTCTCTCTCTCTCTCTCTCTCTCTCTCTCTCTCTATCTCTCTCTATATATATATATATATATATATATATATATATATATATATATATATATATATATATATATATATACAACAAACTTGCTGTGTAATAGGCCTATTTCAACTAAGGGCATGACTATTTTTGCACTTTTGTGGTTATAGTACTCACATATTGTGCAATAATTTATCAGCCAATATTTACAGGCACACTTCTGATAGATTGGCATCATACCTGTTATTATATTATGCTGTTTTATGATCTATGTTATAATGTTGTAAACAGACCTGGAGTTGTGTTTTGTTTCATTCACATGTTTAGCACACAAACCCTGCATATTTAGGTGAATTCTTCTCTCAAATGCAAAACGCTCCACCTTGTGATGTCATGTGGTAATATAAGACATGCTCCGCTGTGTTTTAAACTCCCTACACCTTCAGTAGAATCATTTCGATTTGGTTCATTAACAAACAAAAGTTGGTTCCACAACCTCTTCCTCTTCCCACTAGTAGCTGTATATAGTGGTTATCATTTCCATAGTTGTCAATGTTAAGGTGATTCCTCCAATATACTGTTAGAACTGCATTACTATTAGGGATGTAACAGTAACCGAAATATCGTGATATCACGTCGTCAAAGTTCTCGCAATAATATAGTGGACCATCACAATATATCGAATTACAAGTGTCTCTGCTTAAATTAAGAGTTATGGTGCAGCAATACACAAAAAAGACAGAGGGAACTACATAGACCATGATCCTTTGCTCCATTTCAGTGCAGACTACAAGAAGAAATAACAGTTATAAACACTTTAAGTCTTAGTTCTTTGAATTAAGTCTTGTCAAGGCATTTTAAGAGAAAGTAACACATTAACAGTTTTAGCTGTTTAGCGTCCATAAAATATCGCAATAAATATCGTACTTTGACGAAAATATCAGAGAGATTTGGATATTGTTACATCCCTAATCGTGAGCTTTCCCATGATATTGCAATAAATATTGTCCCGTGAGCTTCATACCGTGACAATATCTTATTGTGAGACTTGGATATCGTTACACACCTAATTACTATACACAATTAGTCATTTCTGTTTACTGACGCTGAAACCTCACTCTCTTACCCAAAACATACTACAGATCTCCATGAACAGTTGTTAGTCAAGGTCAGTTAAATACAATCAATTCAATCATTGTGTCCTTAGGCAAGACACTTCATCCACATTGCCTAGTATGAAAGTGGTGTGTGTGTGAGTGATGGTGGTGGTCGGCGGGACCGATGGTGCCGAGTGGCATGGCAGCCGCGCTTCTGTCAGTGTGCCCCAGGGCAGCTGTGGCTACAATAGTAGCTTACCATCACCAGGGTATAGAGTGAATGAATAATGCTGAATGAATGAATGCTGAATGAATAATGCTGAATAATGCTCTGTAAAGCGTCTTTGGGGACAGAAAAAAATGTCTGTGAAAGCGCTACATAAAGAAAGACTTACTCAGACATACACGCACGCACGCGCGCACACACACACACTTTACACCTCAACTGCTGTGGCGTTGTATGCATTTGTATTGTACTGTTCTGTATTGTTCTTAGTGTATTGTCCAGTCCTGTCTAATGTCTGTATGCTTGTTGTATGTTGCAAATTTTTAAAAAATGCTTTGGATCATTTCAGGCCTGGAATTGCCAATCTCTACTGAACAAAAGGTAAAAGGTTGTACTTTGAAACTGCGGCTTCATGGAGACAGGTTAATAATAAAGGGTTACTCAAACATGTGTGAATGAAACAGAACACAACTCCAGGTATGTTTTTGAGTAGGAAACATTATAACATGGCACTAGAGTCAATTTCACATAATACAAAACCTTTTTAAATATTGTCAAAAAGATTGTAATTTTTGGCAGTATTACCCATGCTCAGAACTCCAAACTACCCTCCACCTCCAATTTAATCTCTACATATGTACTCTATACCACTATATCATTGAATGTGTCTGAACAACTCCTCATGGTGCTTTGTTTTTCCAGACTAAGAAATATGCAGATGTGATCATACCAAGGGGAGCTGATAACCTTGGTGAGTGGCTATTTGTTTCTAGGAAAACTTGAAATGTTCTTCATATATCTAAAGTCTGAGGAAGCGCTGTAGATACTGGTGTCCCTGTGCTATTATGAAGGCCACAGAAGAGATGGAGACAACACAGCTTTGGCTACGACCATTAAGAGAAAATATTTAGGTGCTTGTAGTTCTGTACTTTGTAAATCATGGTGTAAGTTAAGTTAAATTTTGATAGCAAATGGCATCTACAAATTGAAATTGCAAACCTCTTTTTAACTAAATTATTCTTTTATTATCCTTTCTTCAGTAATGGCTTTTTCCAGCTGGTCCACATTTTGGTCAAACAAAATATTAATTCTGTTTAGGATGTCGACTACTGCGTACATTTTTCTGAAATAGTTTTTAAAAGTTGGATTATTGCTTGGCTATGGTTGCTTTGAAAAGACTAATTTCAGTGATGGAAAGAGTACTGCAAATGTGTACAAAGAAAAAAGTTACATGGCTAAAAAAAATAATTTTGGCAGCATTCTAGATCAGTATTTTATATACATCAAACAGTTTAAAGTTTGAAACAAGTAAATTAGTGTATTCTGTCATCTTTGGTCAATCAACACACACGATGCAGTGCTGTTATGTGTTTGAAGGTTTAGAAAGGAGCAAGGAGTGCTGAGTATTGTACCTAAATCTGTATGATTACACAGTGTCATAATGTGATAATTTGTTAAGTCAGTAAATTACAGGGTCTGCAGGAGACATTTTTCATGTTCTATTTATGTGAGGGAAGGGTGGGTCATCATCAGACTATTTCTACTACTATAGATACAGTTTATTGTAGAGTGAATTTAAAAGTATTGAAAGTATTACCAAATGGTGATTAGCTCTTTAACCCATCATATCCTTTATCTGTGCAGTTGCCATAAATCTGATTGTGCAGCACATCCAGGACATCCTGAATGGAGGTTTGACCAAACGTTTGAATGGATGGATCAGTGGTTATGGGACAAAGCAGCAGCAGAGCATGGAGTCCAGCAGCCGGCCCCACTGAGCTAAGCCTATTTGACAGACAGGGGGCAGTGCTGCGCAGCAGGTCTCTCATGAGTTTGAAAACTGGTCAGATGGGGCAAGAATTCTGCAGTAAAGATGATTTATTGTGTTTGGACTGAGTGACTGAAAAAGGGTATATTTTGATTTACTGTACATGATTACATACATGTGTTGAGATAGTTCTGAATGTGAAGTTGAACCAACACTAGAAGCCTTTTCAGAAGCATCTTTCAAATGGTTGCCTCAGCACTGAAATGCCCAGTGCCTAAAACTACTTGAAGCTTCAACTATTCAATAATCCAGCAGCGCTCTCTCCGCCTTATTCAAGTTCACTCTGTGAGCCAAACTCAATGCAACACGCTCTGTGCAGCAAGGAGCAGTCAATAGATTGGGATTGTTCAGGTTATCTAGTAGTACTGTCTGTTTGCTTTGTCTTGTGCAAATTTAAGTTATTTAATAATGAAACAACCAATTCTCACCTCAATCAGATATCTGACATTGTCGCCAAAGAATCGCGCAGTTCTTTTGTGTTTGATCTAAAATAACATTTTGTGAAACCACAACAGTATTTACTTTGACTCAAACCTTCAGATGCAAGTTTCATGAAAAGATTATGTTAAAAGCAGAAAGGTACCTAGGACTGTTCTTCAGTTTCCTGTGTACATTTGTACATAATGTTCTCAGGTATGGTTTGAGTTGTGCTGTTCAGAGAACTGTATTTACTAAATATGTTACATATTGTCTATCACTGTCCTCGTTAAAGCTGAGGGCTTTTTGTCTTCTTTCAAAATAAATAATTTAAAAAATGAATGCATTTCTAAGCAATGTGATCATACTTGATGCTATTCTGCTTATCTTTATGGAAATATTGACATTAAAAATATAAAATAATTTTCTGGGTCCTTTATCTGCATTAAAAATATCACAAGCACAATTTTGGCTTATGCATTATCAAGAGTTTATATGAATTAAGCATGATAATGTGTATCCTAATTTATATTTACACACACACATATATACACATACACAGTTAGATTCATCTGAGGTCACTCCCTGGTGGTTGCATTCTGTCCAAAAAGCCCTCTGTACAGTTCACTCTTGGCTTCATCCGTCATTGCACTGTGATCCATAGGAGCCATGAAGTTGACCAGCTTACTGTGAACGTGGTACCTGACTTTCCGCCCTTTACTTGCCTTGGTATCCACTTTCTTCTTTATCTTACTCCTCAGCTTCTGTATTGCCAACCACTGCCTGCCCATGGCCACTTGGTCATTGGGGTCGGCCGCACTAGTTTTGCGTTCAATAAGCTCTCTCAATAACTGATGGTAAAAATCATCATCATCAAAAATGTCCTCATCAACGTCTTTGAGATGAGAGTTTGTTTTTAGTTGTTTCTCAGGCTCCTCTCTAATGATTTCACTTTCGGATGTCAGTGCACCTTTTTTTCCCATGACCTTATATTCTGATCGGCGAGTTTGCGTGCGCTTTATTAGTCTCTCTTTATCCATAAGCACTTGTTCAATTTGGGTAAGTATGTTTCTTTCAAATGCACCAAAAGATTTGCTGGTTTTACCCATGGTTAACCTGGTTTTGTCATGCCACTTTTGGAGAGTTGTGTTTTGGTAAGGTGTGAAAACCGCAAAACGTTTGGCCATCAAATCTGGATATTCTGCCATTTCTAGTTTACGTTTTTGTAGCTTCTTACTATTTAGTTCAATTTCGCAATCTTCTTCATCACTTAGAATTTCCTCGTTTTGTTCCCCCAAACTGATCGCTCTTGTATCTGCATTTTGTACAAGAAGTTCATCGTGTAACTCCAGTAATGATCTCTGGAGAGCTTTCAGTGCTTTGTGTGAATTTTTCAGAGCTCCAGCGAATTCTGCGTTTTTCTTGAATTCTGGAAAGGTCAAAGGTTGAGGGAGCTGATTGGCGGAAAGGAGAGCTTTCTGAAATTTGATTCGTCCCTCTAGAAGCAGGTCCCACAGAGCGAGTTGGTTCTTCACGGCCTTGCCTTTCTCTACTTCCTCGTTGACTTGAGAAAATGTGCGCACGGTGGAGTTGTCGTAGTCTTGTTCCATGTCATCCTCCTCACGGCTTTCCTCTTCGTCGCTTTCTTCTTCACTTTCCTCGCCACTTTCTTCCTCATCCTAAAAGAAATCATTAAATTAGTTAACTTATACAATGAGGTCTTTTATCACATACACAGATGTCTAAATAGGTCAAATAAAATATCCTTTCTAAAATGTGTGTCTTTTTGTCTCTTTGTTTTTCCCAAACAATATGTGAAGAAGGAAAAAAAATTACATTGATACTGTTTTAATGAGGGGGTGGTGTGTTCAGTGAATTGCCAGAATGCAACCAGGGGAAGAGCAGCGATCAGTGGGTCTGCTGTGGGATCGGAGGCAAATGAAACGAGAAACACAGAAAACAGTGCGTGTTTCTGACAGGAGGGGGCTGTGGCATCACTATGGTGGCTCTCTGTGATGTTGGGTCATCGTCCAATGGAACACCCCTATACTTTACTTACTGAACTGGTGGAAATAAAAGTTTGTTTAGTTTTATTACATTTGAATAAAATGTTGTTTATTTCTATTATTTATTAATCATTGCATCCAGCCAATGAAAACTTTGGCCCCTACATTGGCCCCTACATTGGCCCCTACATTGGCCCCTACATTGGCCCCTACATTGGCCCCTACATTGGGCTCTATATTGGGCTCTATATTGGAGGGATAATTAATTCATACATTGCCCACCCATCCAAGATAATCATTTGGGGGTGTACTGAGAGTTACACTAACAGTACTAGTAACAAACAGCTTACCTCCTCTTCCTCTTCCCCCTCACTCACTCCTAAGTCATCCATGCCCTTTGTCAGTTTGTGGAAGTCCACTCCTTTACAAAAAGCCACTTCAGAGTTGTTTAGATTATGATCATCGTCATTTACATCTTCATCTGATTCTTGAAGCGCTTCTTCTGATTCTTCCTCCTCTTCAACCTCCTCCTGTTCATCATCTTGAAAAGGACAAATTATTCATGCATTATTCCAGTCATTACTGCTTGCAATTAAAACACCATAATAGGGATGTTACCTCTAAATACATAAATTAATGTGTAAATATGGCCAAATCATGTACATTTTCCTATGCCCATGTATGGTAAATGGTCAGTGGTCACATATTTAACTAGCTTTTCCACCTTCAAGGCACTCAAAGCACTTTCCAACAAGGAACCCCTCACCCTTCCACAAACACATTCACACACCAGTGTACGCAGACACTGGGGGCAAGTTGGGTTAAGTGTTTTGCCCAAAGACACAACGACAGCATTCATCTGTGGAAGGTGTAATGGCACCGCCAACCTGTGGGTCAGTGGATCTAATCACTAATGATGTTTTTTTTATGTCTTAGTATAGTTAAAAGGTGCACTTTGAAACTTGCTTCTTTCTTATTGCTTTCCTGGAATGTTTCATTGTTCAGCATTAAGCTAATCTATCTCCATGGAAACAACAAGCATATGTTGACAACCCAGCTCACAGTAAGAAAACCTGAACAGATGGTTGAGCAATATGTTTTATATACCATATTGTGGAATATTTTAGGCAAAGTAATAACATCTCCAAGAAAGACAACCAAGTAGTGGTTCGGGCCTTCTGTTAGAAAAGTTACGCGGAGCACCTTCAAAACATAATTGGGTCATTCCATGCCATTTCATCAAATTTCCAGAAAATCTCACACATCGTGTTTTTTTTATTATTTTTAAACATTTACCAGCTGGTCCCTTACTATGACGTACCAACCCTGTGAAATTTTAGTAATTTTCAATCAATACTTTAAGTTACAGCTCATTTAGTGAGGGAAGTATGTGTCAATTTACGGGTCAAAAATCACGTCATTTTTTTCTCGCCTGTTTTCATAGGTCAATATCTCAGTAAGTATCAAACATACAGGGCGGAAATTTTGTATGCTTGTGCTCCGCTACACTGTGTTCAAATAACATCGATCAAAAGTTTGGTATCTCAACTCATTGTCATTTTATATTAACTTAAAAATTAAGAAAAAAAAAAAAAAAAAACGTGTTCATTTCCGTGGCATACCATTTTTAGACCCTTTTAAACCCACTTGTAGGTGTAGTAGATTCTTACATTTTTTTGAAAATATAAAAAAATGGTAAATAAAAGATATGTACCAGGACTGTTAAAAGAAATCACCAAATGTTGAAAATTTAAAATAGGTTATGTGTGAGGGTCCTGTTAAAAACAAGAAAACGCAACATGGTCCAATTTTCACATGTAATTTATGGCATGTGGGTAGTAATAATTTTTCTTTGAAAGACCAGAAAAAGACCTTTCATATGACACCAAATATATGTATTTTATGAAGCTCCTTCAATTTTTTAATTGTATCTTGAACATTCGCATTTAACACAATGACACGAGAATTTGGTGATTTCTTTTAACAGTTCAGGTACATATCTTGATTCTCAAAAAAATGTAAGGGTCTACTACACCTACAAGTAGGTTTAAAAAGGGGCTAAACATGGTACGCCACGGAAATGAATTTTTTCTTTTCATTTTTAAGTTCATATAAAATGACAATGATTTGAGATACCAAACTTTCGACAGATGTTATTTGAACACAGAGTAGAGGAGCACAAGCCTACAAAATTTCAGCCCTCTGTGTGTGATACTTACAGAGATGTCGATCTGTGAAAACGGCCGAGAAAAAAATAACGCGATTTTGCACCCTTAAACTGACACATACTCCCCTCACTAAATGAGCTGTAACTTAAAAAGTAATGATCGAAAATGACTAAAACTTCACAGGGTTGGTACATGATAATAAGGGACTATTTGTTTGTTTTTTTCAACACTTTTTGAGATCGAAGTGCGTGGGCCTTTTGTTGAAATGGAGTGGAATGACCCAATTTGTATGAAATTCACCCTCTAAATCAGATTTCAGACAATGCTGTTAAAAAGTTATGTATCTTATAAAATATAAATCATTGACAACACTTTAGAAGAGAAGGAATTTGCCTTACCATCATCCCCTTCACCCTCTTCCTCATCATCTTCAACATCAACATCATCATCATCGTCGTCATCCTCCATGTCCCGCTTCAGTTGTTTTCGGGACACCGCCTTGCCCGCATACCTCCTGTCCGTGTCTGATAGCAGAGAGGCGGCGTGTTTCCTCAGCGCGCTCGGTCTCCCGTCTCCATCGTCCTCCTCCTCGTCTTCATCTTCGTCAAACTTTTCTATCACCCGGGCTTTAGTTTCCTCGTCGCCATCGTCTTCGGGATCAATGAATTTCGGCTGTGGGTTAAGTAAATCCTCCAACTGCTGAGAAAATGAGCCGGACATGGTGGTTATTATAAATTTCACACGTGCGTTGCTCCGGCAGGACTGCAGCAGAAGGAGATGACGTCGGTAAAGAGCGACAAACTACACTCTCGGTTAAACCATGGATCTGGGTTAAACCCACAAAATTGACTGTTAGGGAAACATATTGCCTGTTACTAGTTAATTTGGCGGTACTAAACAATTCCTTTCCCAAGCCAGTTAAAAGAGATTATATTCTTAAAAGGAACTTTGAAATGAAAGATATTAAAATAATCAGAACTAAATATCTTTCCTTTCCAGTTCCACCTAAAGTAAAGGAGATACAGTTTAAAATTTTGAATAATATTTATCCAACCAATGAATTCCTAAAACAAAAATTCAAATTCGAAACAGGTAAATTTGTGTTCTGTGACACAGGGGAAGAAGACCTGGAACATCTTTTCTTTTCTTGTACTTTGGTACAACAATTTTGGTTTGATTTTCATTCATTGCTTCAGTCCAGGGGAGTTAAATTTGCCCCCCTAACAATAAAAGAAATTTAATTTGGTGTATTAAGAGAAGATAAAAGGAAGGAATTTGGAATTCATAATTTATTACTCTTAGGAAATTTTTTTATTCACAAATGTCGATGTTTTAAGGTAAATCCAAATATAACGTACTTTAGTAATGACCTAAGAATTTTTGTTGATTCATTGAACCTGATTGAAAAAAGAGAAGCTGGGTTTCTTGTATCTTTTTTAAATGATGCCAATTTGTTCCTTTGATTACATGCTTTAGAATTTGCCCCCATGGTTCATTCGTGAATGTATTCTTGTTTACATTTTTCTTCACAACTGCAATTTGTTTTTGTTTTTTTTGTTGTTTTTTTCTTACTCGGTTTGGATGTGAATTTTGTATGGTGCTTTTTCGTTTGTATCTGGGAAGTATTAATAAAAAATTTTAAAAAAGTTAATTTGGCGGAAGTAGGATATGTTGTACTCTAGTAATTCTCCTGGACTGAGACAACTTTGCATTGAAGGGGTTGAATTTTGTGATTCAAAGTGCAATAACACTTTTTTATATATATATATAATTTGTCAAATTTAAGGGATTGGATACCCAGCACATCCACAATAAAACAGACTTAACTAAACATGCATACAGAAAAAAATAAAATAAAATAATAATAATAATAATAATAATAAATAAGTAAATAATAATAATAATAATAATGATAATAATACCAAAAAAAAGAAATTACACATTAACAATAACACATTTTTGAGATGTTCCTTACTAAATAATTCCTTACTAAACAATTCCTTTCCCAAGCCAGTTAAAATAGATTATATATATATATATATAAAAATATCTTATATATAAGATATATATATATATATATATATATATATATATATATATATATATATATATATATATATATATATATATATATATATATATATATATATATATATGCTTTAGGTGATTATTATTATTATTCTTTATTTATGTATTTTGCACGTATAACATAATAATAAAAAACACTACATTTACATTTAAAAAATAAATAAATAAAATAAAATCACTGAAATTACTTTATATCTCCTTAATTTCTTTGTCTGGATTGTTCCAGTATGGGATTAAGCTTGCCTCCACAGAGACAAGCAGGTGATGCCACCAGGCCAACTAACAGGTACGATCTGTGGAGAGGCAAGCCCATTCACAACTAGAAAAGTACTCAGAGAGCGCAGACCTCCGCCAAGGACTATAGTCCTCATCATATTAATTGTGTTTTCCATAAATATTTGACTCGTATCTTTCAATTTGGAATATGAAAGAGGATCCAATTGTCCATCCCTGAGTCAAATTTCATGGGGTTTGGTCAATAATTAATCGAGATATTGAGAAACAAAATTTTTGGCCCCATTTACCACAATGTTAACTAAAATTTCAAAGTGATCCAGAACCCAGGATTTCTTCCGGATCACCCCCAAAATGAAATCAGTTCTTCCTATTCACATTTCCAACAAATCCTGAAAATTTCATCAAAATCAGTCTATAACTTTTTGAGTTATTTTGCTTACAGACAAACAAACAAACAAACAGACAAACGCCGGCAAAAACATAACCTCCTTGGCGGAGGTAATAAGAATGCATTGTATTAAGGTATTTCTGGACAATAAAACACCTATAATTGAACATATGCAAGAGAGATTAGTCATTCCAGGCAAAGCAATGACATGTGGGACCACCGGAAACGTTTCACGGCAAAATTTGTAATGCCAGTCCTGCTAAGTGCACTTAAAATTTGGGAGCAGTAACCAAAAAGACAAATTGCAGACAGACACCGAAAAGACAAAAATCGGGGAACATATCCTCAATCTTGGGCGCATGCGCATAGTGTTGACGAGGCTGTGAGCGTTGCTGTTAGCTCAGTTCGGTCCCGACGTGTTCGTCTAACAAAGACCACGAAGTTTACAGTGAAAATGTCCACCAGCGATTTTTATTTGCGATATTATGTGGGGCACAAGGGGAAATTCGGACACGAGTTCTTGGAGTTTGAGTTCAGACCGGATGGTAAGTTTGTTTTGGCGGCAATTCATAGATGTTGGCACCACTGCGTGTTTGCTACGAGCTAATGAGCCACCGGGCTGTAGGCCTCATGCAATCTACAGTGAAATAGTTACCACAGATTTCTCTAAAAACGTGGTGCATAATGTTGTCAACAATATTTTTTCCAAGACTGTTGTAGCTGCATTGGGCAATTTATGAGCACTGGTTGTTCAGGCTTGACTGACTATTCCTCTGATTGTTGCTAGCTCATTTCTTTCTTTCTTTTTTTTCTTTTTTATTTTGAGCCAGGTACAACAAAATTCAAAAACAATAACAAAAATAGTGATATGTGCATGAACATATTTGGGACCTGGTGCTCAAAAGGAGTAGGATGAAGTTTAAAAAACGTATGGAGTCCTACCCCAATTGTTTTCCATAATCACTAATTGCTAATGATAATGAAAAGTGTAGCAGTACTGTTTTCACCATATCTTGTCTCTTTTTCAGGAAAACTGCGGTATGCTAACAACAGTAACTACAAGAATGACGTTATGATCAGAAAAGAGGTATTTAAAGTCATTTATTTACCAAGGTTGATATCACAGTGTAATATATTCATAATTGATAATAGTGATTCAAGCAGTTAACCATGTTTGTAGTTGGAACAACTGTAGACATGAATAATCCTGCATAATCTAATAATTGTGGGTATGACTTTCCTTTTGTACAAAGTTCTTTACTGTATTTGTGTTATTGTAGGCGTACGTACACAAAAGTGTGATGGAGGAGCTGAAGAGGATAATCGACGACAGTGAAATCACTAAAGAAGACGACGCTCTGTGGCCCCCTCCGGACAGAGTTGGCAGACAGGTTTATATATTGTCAATTCTGCATGAAAAGTATGGTATAGTCAAAACCAGACTAATCAGAATTACTAGTAGCTCTACTGTGGTGTGTACTGTACATTTTTAATGCAAGACATGCAAATCTTGGACAATTTCTGTTATATTTTTTTATTGGTAATCACTAGTTGTTCATATTAAAAGAATGTTTTAGTAAATATAACAAAACTGCACTGCCCATCATGCCTTGTTTTTCTATTGTTTACAGATCTGTACATCAATTGTGCTTTTGTTTTACAGGAACTGGAGATTGTAATTGGAGATGAGCACATTTCATTCACCACATCAAAGATCGGATCCCTTATTGATGTCAACCAGTCCAAGTGAGTAGTGTTTTGGTAAAACTGGCAGTAAAGTACATTGGACATATCAGAACAACCAACCTCTTCTCTTCCAGGGACCCAGAAGGCCTCCGTGTGTTTTACTACTTGGTCCAGGATCTCAAATGTCTCGTTTTTTCTCTTATTGGACTTCACTTCAAGATCAAGCCAATCTAAGTCTTTTTCATTTCTGCTTATTGTATGTCCTTTAGCTATTTTCCCATTCTCAGATCTGATTTGTACATTTGACTTTGGTGGAATTGTTTTTTATTTTAAATAAAATGTTGGAAAACATGCCTGTTTGTAAAGAAAACTTATTTTTATTCACGCAAACCCGTAAGGCTGACAAGTAATTATGATTTTACATGACATTACAATACTTTGCTTTAAGATGCAGAAAGTTGGATAAGGCACTTTTAAAACCATTAATTTACTGCTGTAGTCTAAATGCACAAAGAAATTATTACAGTACAGAAACAATCTTCTGGAGTGAAAATGTGTATGTTCATTTTCCATTCACTTTAAAATGTTTTGTTTTAATAACCTGTTTATACAGTATTCTAGCTTTTCAGATTAGTTAGCTCAATGGTTTTCCTTCCAAAACTGTGAAAATGTCCTCTAATGACTTGTGGACACATTGGAGAAACTCATGCACATTTCGAGCCGGGTATGAGGACACGTTACAGCCAATCCAGTCATCATGAACTCCGTAGTACACCCCAAATCCATCCGGAACCACAGGAGCAAACCCTGCTACATTCATCGCGGGACTGGTAAGGGTACTGGCGAGCAGGATGTTATGGTTGATGGAGCTGTAGGTGGGGTCTGTGTACAGGCTGTGCAGAGGCTGCCCCTTTGAGTTGGACAAGCACCGCATGGCAGAGAGGTGGTGGTCAAAACCTTGGCCTGGTGGAAGAACACAATACGAGGTTAGGGTATATGTCTGTGTGTGTGTGTGTATATATAATTATATATATTTAATATATATGTAATATACACATAAATATACATACACACACACATATATATATATACATATATGCATATGCGCACACACATACATATGCTGTACACCGCACTCCCAATAAATTAAACAAACTAGTTGTTTTAGCTGCTAACCAAGAGACTAACATTTGAAATACTGACCCATGGCTGCCTCCTTGATGAGCTGTCTGTGGTACTTGGAGCACTCGTTCAGCATGGCTCTCAGCTCCTGTACACTGTGCTTCCCCGGCTCATGGACAAAAGCGTGCGAGCAGCGTTTGGTGTGAATGGTGGCCGCTCTGATGAGCTCTAGACGGCCATGTTTAAATGCCACCGTGGTACAAGGCTCTTCCGTGGCTACGGTTTGTCCATACTGCCTCAAAAACCCCATCTGGAATGCCAACTGAGCGATAGCATCTGGGCTCAACTTGCTCTTTTTCAGCTGCTCTTTGCCTCCCTTTTTAAACTCCATTGCATCTATGGTCAGCTTTGATACGGCTGCATCAAAATTCTCCTTGGCCTTTTGAATACTACTTTTCAATTCACCGTCTAAGTTAAACTGCAATCTTTGGACAGCAGAGGCCGAATCTACAGTGGCAGGAGCAGAGCCAGGGTTCACATTTGGGTTTTCTGTTGTATCTTTGAAGATTTCATTCTGGAATCTCAGCATTGTCAGTCCATTTCCCCATGAATGCTCAAAATTGATGGCTGCATTTCCATCTTTTGCGATGATGATACTGAAGGACTTGTCATACCAGCGATTGCACCCATCTCCATGAAGCATGTTGTGACACATGTGAATATGGTCCTTCATAGCTTGATCATCAAGACAGAGGCAAAACAATGCACTGTCCACAGTCTGCAAAAGTCCTCCATTGCCACTGGCGATTAGTTTCTCCCTTAAACCTGTCCACACACGTCTCTGTTCTCACTTGTTAGGACACCAATCGGACTGGAAGCTGCTGGGTTTTCATCTGACAAAATGTACTTCAAATGGGAGTGAATCTCTGCCGGTTTCACCATATTTCCATCGCGATTGACAATATCAAATGTGTACAAGTTGCCTTTCCGCATCACTAAAAGATGTCTCCCCTTCTCGTCCGTAAACAGTTCGTCTCTTCCTTGTTTTGGCAATCTGGTAGAGTTGAAAAGCCGGAAATACTGGGACATGTCTAAAGGATATGCGTTGACCAAGTAGGCCCCGTACCATGACAGCGAAGAGGGAACCCAGCGGATGAACTTTTTGAACTGGTCTGTGTCACTTTTAGCAGGATTCAGGTGGAGTACGTCAGGTTCTAGTACTCCTGCTCTTAGTGTTTTCATGAAGCGAACAGCGGAGCAAACCATGTTGGTGGCACGGATGAGCTGGTTGTTGTATTCTAGTTTGGGGTCGGGATTGAAGGACTGGAAGGGGTTATAGTTGGGGACGACAGGTTCCCGTGCAGAGAGGTACATGTCAAACGAAAGTGCTGGAAGAAAAACATAAGAAATTAGTAGTACAAATAAATGTAGGTTGAATCTAGTTGTGGCTCGAACAATCAAATTAACAGTGACTGGATTTTGTGACAAATTATACAATACATTGTGGTAATGTTCTCATATTAATTCATTTCTGTTTGTTTGTTTGTTTGTTTGTGTTATAAATGTGTGTTCTGGAAAGGGAGTGCAGTTTAGGAAAAGAAAGAATGTACTGATGGAGACCACACATGATTTCATTCTGCTGCAAAGTCTGGTCATTGTAATGGCATTTTTCTTGAATGTTTGATTTAATGAACTATAACATGAGTTTCCCCAGGGACTGCAGGTGGAAATTAGCACACGTACCGACTACAGTGCATGTCTCCTGTTGGTCAAGGCCAATGCATATTGTGCAAGGTCACAATCTCAAACTAAACTGAACTAAAGCAGCATCTTTTCTCACTCACCCACCCTTCTTCAGCCTCTGTCATACTAAATAAAATTCCAAATAAATACATTATAAAAAGCATTTGTTCAAAACAACAGTATTTTGAAACCAGGTGAAGGCAGTTTCCCATTTTTGATTGAGAGCAAGCAATACCATGTTAACAAATATTTCTGAAAAAGAGTCCATATATTATGTCAAATGGACTAGGGGAATTTTCATGTTTACTTTTGACATGTGACCAAAAGACCTGGGGCAGAGTAATGAGTGTATTATTTTCAAATGAGTCTCCTTTATTTTAACAGATGCAGTATATGCCTTAGTCTTCAAAGACTGTCAGAATTGGACAGATGATCTTTAAAAGAAGTTGTAGTGAAGTCATTCTAATCTAAATGATTTGTCTCACACCCTCATTGATAAACTTGTTGTGTCATGTGTATTATTACAGGTTGACCTATGAAACTGTGAGAAACACCCCATGTGCCGTCTCTTGCATATTTGTGCCCGTCTTTTGACATTTAAATTTTTTTTTTTCAAAATTACTGCAGCTGATCTGACCAAAAGCGAAGCTTTCATATTTTTCCAAATTTAAATATTTGCATTTTTGTAGCCAGTGCCTTTTTGATTTAATTGGCCTTAATCTGTGACCAGTGTTTTCTCCAGATCTCATGGACAGTAGGAAGGTATCTTCTGCTCTCCTCTTTAAACAGAGGATACAGTGTTCCTTCAGGCTGACGCAGCATGAGCTTGGAGTATTGTTAGATCACGTGGCCTCGTGGCATCCGTCCCAGCTTGTTTGATTCTTCAGACCTGACGCCCTGAGAACTTCAGATCTCCAAACCATTGGACCCCTGTACCACACCGTGACTGACATCTCAAACTTTTTTTAATTAATTACAGATCATAATTAATTAATCTCTCAATTTTTTTAATCGCATGACAGCACTAGTTATTTCCAGATATGGACAAGAATTTACAAACTTTCAGAATAATAGTTTAATTAATTATTAATTAATGAAACAATTTAGTTAATTGATAATACTGAATTGGTGATATTTCTCAACACTGGTTGAGCACTCCCCCAGAAATAAAAGCCAAAAACTCACAAAGGCCACATGAGTTCTGCTTTAACGTAGAATTTTTAATTCCAATCTTTAATATCACTTACCTCCTTCAATACTAGTACACATGACTCAGTAAACTGAATCAAACTGTCAGTGCAAACATTTGTCAATTTGCCAATGGTGAGGTGAGCTGTCATTCATGTCCCGCCTATGTAGACGCTCAGTTCAATCCTGTTGACAGGACAGCACTGGCCAAGTGCGCTTTTTGTGCCTAGTGGTGACGACACACCTGCAAGTCCAACAAAAAGGTCCAAACTGACCCTGTGTGTAGTAAATCTGTATGGATGATTATATTTTCAAAGACTTTAGAATGGTTTTATTAGTACCTCAAACATCAGAAAACACTTTCCCCTGTTGCCACAAGTTCATAACATTTTATGAATTTGATTTTTCATGTTATTAGTAGTTATCCTATCCAAGAATGTCTAAATGGGAAACTTATATTTTACATTAGTTTACACCACAGTCATTCAGCTAAAGTTTTTAGATTTAGTTTTGTTAAACCACTTCACACTGGTATTTGTTTCATAATAGAAAGGCAGTTGTACCTGAGATGTAGCTTGTGTGTTTATTATTTTTGTCCTGAGCGACCAGTTCTTTATGCAATTGTTTTCCCACTCCAATCTTGAAATCTTCTGCAATTTTCTCTGTGTTTCTGCAAGAACAAATGTCAGTCAGAAGTGTGTATTTTATTATTCATTGACTCAGTGCTTTTCAAACTTACCTGAACTGGTCGTCATCCAGAAGAGGTCTCTGAGCAGCTAAATATCTTCTAATAGTGTCCTCTAGTTTGGGTATTGGCAACCTAGGAACAACAAAGTCAGTCCATTTAACTGTTTCTGCATTTGTATGAGTTACAGTGTGTTCATGTGATGATAATATTTTGTATAGCTGGGTAATCCCTCAGTTGTCCAGGTATGATCCAAAAGAAAATTTCTGACAACTGGACAAAAGTTTTAGAGTGAAGAGTAGTGAAACAGAAACATCCACTCCATCACATGAACATGTTTTCTGCTGTTTTGATTGGTCTGGAGATGATACATTCAACAACCAATCACTTGTTTGGACAGTGATAGCAAAACATGTCAAATTATTGCATTGGCAAAACAAGTATGACTTCAGTAAAAATAAAATAAGGCTTATAGGCATATCATTTCCTTGTTTAAATTGAGTAACATAAGCACTGCATAAATCGATATAAATATATAAATCGTGGCCATACCGGGATGATGTTTTCCTGAAGGCTTCATCAGGCCAGGACCTGCAATGTGCACTGGGGCAGTTTGCAGCCGAGTGTGAAGTGGCTGGGATGAGAATCAGCCCTTCCAAGTCCGAGGCCATAGTTCTCGACCGGAAAAAGGTGGCTTGCCCTCTCCGGGTGGGTGGAGAGTCCTTGCCTCAAGTGGAGGAGTTCAAGTATCTCGGGGTCTTGTTCACAAGTGAGGGGAGGATGGAGCGCGAGATCGACAGGCGGATCAGTGCAGTGTCTGCAGTGATGCGATCGCTGTATCAGACCCTTGTGGTGAAGAGGGAGCTGAGTCGAAAGGCGAAGCTCTCGATTTAACGGTCGATCTTCGTTCCTACTCTCACCTCTGGTCATGAGCTCTGGGTAATGACCGAAAGGACAAGATCGCGGATACAAGCACTCTAAATGAGTTTCTTCCGCGGGTGGCTGGGCGCTCCCTTAGAGATAGGGTGAGGAGCTCAGTCACACGGGGGAGGTCGGAGTAGAGCCGCTGCTCCTCAACGTCGAGAGGAGCAGCTGAGGTGGCTCGGGCATCTGTTCCGGATGCCTCCTGGGCGCCTCCCTCGGGAGGTGTTCCGGGCATGTCCCACCGGGAGGAGGCCCCGGAGAAGACCCAGGACACTCTGGAGGGACTATGTCTCTCGGCTGGGCTGGGAACGCCTGAGTCCCTGCTTAGACTGCTGCCCCCGCGACCCGGCCCCGGATAAGCGGAAGAAAATGGATGGATGGATGGATGGCCATACCGGCTTCTGAGATCCTGTCAGGTCTCAGAAGCTAAGCAGGGCCGGGACTGGGTAGTACTTGGATGGGAGACCGCTGGGAATTCCTGGTGCCACAGTGGGGCGCTATTGGGAAAACTGTTGTTGTGTCCTTAGGCAAGACACTTCACCCACATTGCCTAGTATGAAAGTGGTGTGTGTGAGTGATGGTGGTTGCCGGAGGGGTTGATGGCGCAGATTGGCAGCCTCGCTTCCATCAGTCTGCCCCAGGGCAGCTGTGGCTACAGTAGTAGCTTACCACCACTGAGTGTGGAGTGAATGAATAATGTACTGTAAAGAGCTTTGGGTATCTTGAAAGGTGCTATATAAATGCAATAATTAATAGGTGTCCTTATAAAGATAAACGGGATTTTAGTGGATTATAATAACAAAATAAACATTTATCGCTTTCTGAAACTGAATTTATAGAGAGAAGACTCCCACAATAAAATGAGTGGAATTGGGAGTCGGGACACTTTATAGTTAGAAATACAAACACATTTCTTTGATGGTTATTTAATTGAGCATCAGATTCAGTCTCTGGTCCATTTTTCCACCACACGTGGACCCTTTTTCCAGTATTAGGTTAACTGGGCCACAAAGTAAGAGCTGAAATTTAAAGAACTCTTATAAAATTATTTAACAGTAAACTGAATATTTTTTACTAAATAAGAAACTAGTGACTCTTTAAGAACCAAACTGATGTGGAGGTTTACATTGATGTCAACAAACATTTTTATGACATTATATTTTTAAGAAATTGCCAAAAGTGGCCCACTTTACCTGATTTCACCCTTTTTGTATTTTTTTGTCTTGTCTTACCTGGGCAGACTCTTCTGGTAGTGCATTGACGGCACAATACTCCTGTGCAGATAGTCAGAATGCTGGCTGCTGTATTTCCGTGAATTGATACTTATTGCTCTTGCGTGCATCAAACGTCCACATTTCTGGATACAGCTAATGCTTTTCAATGAGAGCAGTTTAGCCATGTTTTAAGATATCCTAATCAATTAATTTACCATAGAATAATGAGTTAAAGACGAGGAGATCCAGCTACAACAAGCCAGGAACCACATCTGAGATGTTGAGATAAACAGCAACTCCCTAGTTAAATAATCCTAATAATCCTGACATTCTGGATTTTGTATTTTTATTTGACAAGGGAGGTTTTTAGTTTGGAATCCTGTTGTTTTTAAGATATATCCTATTAGAATACTGTTGGAATCCTGTTGGAAAAAAGAAAGAACCCACGAAGAAAGTATTAAAGATTATCTGCAGTGAAGTAGTTACTACAAATTTCTCTAAAACGTGGTGCATAATGTTGTCAACAATATTTTTTCCAAGACTGTTGTAGCTGCATTGGGCAATTTATGAGCACTGGTTGTTCAGGCTTGACTGACTATACATTCCTCTGATTGTTACTACCTAATGATAATGAAAAGTGTAGCACTACTGTTTTCAACACATCTTGTCTCTTTCATCTCTTTTTCAGCAAAACGGCAGTATGCAAACAACAGTAACTACAAGAATGACGTTATGATCAGAAAAGAGGTATTTAAAGTCATTTATTTACCAAGGTTAATATCACAGTGTAATATATTCTTAATTGATAATAGTGATTCGAGCAGTTAACCATGTTTGTAGTTGGAACCACTGTAGACATGAAAAATGCAAATCTTGGACAACCTCTGTAATATATATATGTTACTTAATTGGTAATTACTAGTTGTTGTAAAAAATAAAAATGTCTCATTTTCTCTCTTATAGGACTTCACTTCAAGTTCAAGCCAATCTAAGTCTTTCTCATTTCTGCTTATTTTATGTGCTTTAGCTATTTTCCCATTCTCAGATCTGATTGGAATTGTTTTTTTATTTTAAATAAAATGTTGGAAAACATGCCTGTTTGTAAAGAAAACTTATTTTTATTCACGCAAACCCGTAAGGCTGACAAGTAATTATGATTTTACATGACATTACAATACTTTGCTTTAAGATGCAGAAAGTTGGATAAGGCACTTTTAAAACCGTTAATTTACTGCTGTAGTCTAAATGCACAAAGAAATTATTACAGTACAGAAACAATCTTCTGGAGTGAAAATGTGTATGTTCATTTTCCATTCACTTTAAAATGTTTTGTTTTAATAACCTGTTTATACAGTATTCTAGCTTTTCAGATTAGTTAGCTCAATGGTTTTCCTTCCAAAACTGTGAAAATGTCCTCTAATGACTTGTGGACACATTGGAGAAACTCATGCACATTTCGAGCCGGGTATGAGGACACGTTACAGCCAATCCAGTCATCATGAACTCCGTAGCCCACACCAAATCCATCCGGAACCACAGGAGCAAACCCTCCTAGACTCATCGCGGGACTGGTAAGGGTGCTGGTGGAAAGGATGTTATGGTTGATGGAGCTGTAGGCGGGGTCTGTGTACAGGCTGTGCAGAGGCTGCCCCTTTGAGTTGGCCAAGTACCGCATGGCAAAGAGGTGGCGGTCAAAACCTTGGCCTTGTGGAAGAACACAATACGAGGTTAGGGTATCATTTTGAAGATTAGATTAGAACAACAACGTACAAGCTATTTTACTACTAGGCTGATAACACATGCACTACTAATAATCAAAATGGGTTAATTTAGCATAAAATTCTTCAGAGATCTTCAAATGATCTATCTGGGACTATGACCATGGAAACTAGCCCATCATCTATAATCTGGAGGACTGCTGTTTTCTAATATACTTTGCTTTTCATCACTCCTGAAAATGTACCATGACTTGGTTTCCCATGAGTCTTATTAACAATGTCACAAATGGTAATAACTTCTCTGTAAGTTATTCCCTGACCACTGGATGTGCATTTATCTCGGCAAGAATACATTAAAATCACATACAGGCCCTTTAACATCTTTCTGCACATTGTGCCCCCAATAAATTAAACAAACTAGTTGTTTTAGCTGCTAACCAAGAGACTAACATTTGAAATACTGACCCATGGCTGCCTCCTTGGTGAGCTGTCCGTGGTACTTGGAGCACTCGTTCAGCATGGCCCTCAGCTCCTCTACACTGTGCTTCCCCGGCTCATGGACAAAAGCGTGAGAGCAGCATTTGGTGTGACTGGTGGCTGGTCTTATTGTCTCTGTACGGCCATGTTTAAAGGCAGCCGTGCTACAAGACTCATACGTGGCTACGGTTTGTCCATACTGCCTCAAAAACCCCATCTGGAATGCCAACTGAGCGATAGCATCTGGGCTCAACTTGCTCTTTTTCAGCTGCTCTTTGCCTCCCTTTTTAAACTCCATTGCATCTATGGTCAGCTTTGATACGGCTGCGTCAAAATTCTCCTTGGCCTTTTGAATACTACTTTTCAATTCACCGTCTAAGTTAAACTGCAATCTTTGGACAGCAGAGGCCGAATCTACAGTGGCAGGAGCAGAGCCAGGGTTCACATTTGGGTTTTCCGTTGTATCTTTGAAGATTTCATTCTGGAATCTCAGCACTGCCACTCCATCTCCCCATGAATGCTCAAAATTGATCGCTGCATTTCCATCTCTTGCGATGATGATACTGAAGGACTTGTCATACCAGCGATTGCACCCATCTCCATGAAGCATGTTGTGAGAAATGTGAATATGGTCCTTCATAGCTTGATCATCAAGACAGAGGCAAAACAATGCACTGTCCACAGTCTGCAAAAGTCCTCCATTGCCACTGGCGATTAGTTTCTCCCTTAAACATGCCCACACGTCTCTGTTCTCACTTGTTAGGACACCAATCGGACTGGAAGCTGCTGGGGTTTCATCTGACAAAATGTACTTCAAATGGGAGTGAATCTCTGCCGGTTTCACCATATTTCCATCGCGATCGACAATATCAAACGTGTACAAGTTGCCTTTCCGCATCACTAAAAGATGTCTCCCCTTCTCGTCCGTAAACAGTTCGTCTCTTCCTTGTTTTGGCAATCTGGTAGAGTTGAAAAGCCGGAAATACTGGGACATGTCTAAAGGATATGCGTTGACCAAGTAGGCCCCGTACCATGACAGCGAAGAGGGAACCCAGCGGATGAACTTTTTGAACTGGTCTGTGTCACTTTTAGCAGGATTCAGGTGGAACACTTCGGGTTCTAGTACTCCTGCTCTTAGTGTTTTCATGAAGCGAACAGCGGAGCAAACCATGTTGGTGCCGCGGATGAGCTGGTCGTTGTATTCTGGTTTGGGGTCAGGATTGAAAGACATGAAGGGGTTATAGTTGAGGACGACAGATTCCCGTGCAGAGAGGTACATGTCAAACCAAGGTGCTGGAAGAAAAAAATCAAATCAATCAAATTAACAGTGATTGGATTTTGTGACAAATTATACAATACATTTTGGTAATGTTCTCATATTGTAATTTCTGTTTAATGTTTGTGTTTGTTATACGTGTGTGTTCTGGAAAAGGAGTGCAGTGTACCTGAGATGTAGCTTGTGTGTTTATTATTTTTGTCCTGAGCAACCAGTTCTTCATGCAGTTGCTTTCCCACTCCATTCTTGAAATCTTCTGCAATTTTCTCTGTGTTTCTGCAAGAACAAATGTCAGTCAGAAGTGCATATTTTTTTGCGTATTACTCTTTGACTCAGTGCTTTTTAAACTTACCTGAACTGGTCATCATCCAGAAGAGGTCTCTGAGCAGCTAAATATCTTCTAATAGTGTCCTCTAGTTTGGGTATTGGTAACCTAGGAACAACAAGTCAATTCATTTGATTGTTTCTGCAATTTTACGAGTTTGTATGTTTTAGTGTGATGATCAAATCCATTAAGTGGACAAAAGTTGTAGAGTGAAAACTGGCTTCTTCAATCAAAAACTTTGTCCAGTTGACAGATTAGAATTTGTCTTTTGCCATTTGTATGTAAGTAGTAGACACTGTTTAAAACTAGTATAACAGGTGTGTAGTGCATAGACTGTATATATAACTGGACATAGCTAACGCACTAGCCGCCGCGTTTCAAATAGGAAGTTTGCATGTGGGAGCATCCGGATCCTTCTGGCCCTGGCTCCCATTGTTTTACATTGGATATTGTCCCCCCCTCTCTCTGCGACTGCTGCAGTGACCCTTGTCATTTTGGTCTTAAAATGTTTGTATTAACCCGTTCTACATGATCCTGTGTTTTTTTTTCGCTATTTTGTCCATTAAAAACAATCCTATTCATACAATCCAATTTCATACCTGATTTAGGCCTAGCTTAGACCTAGAAGACAAATACACTAAAGTAGTAACATTGTAAAGTAGTTCTTACCCTCATCTATCTGTAAATTTGACACACTCATATGGTGGACTTGCCAAATAATGGCATGTGACTTTAAAGGCCTTATATTACATGAAGTGGATTCTTGTGAGATTTAAAACATGTTATAATGGTTTATAATAACCTCATCAAATACATGCCCAGAGGTGTGTCTTGTTTCATTCAGACATGTTGGAGTAATCCAGCATTATTAGTTTGTCTACATCTGTAAAGCTCAAAATCTCTGTTCCATTTTGTGATGTCATATGGAGATAGTTTTCTGCTACCTTTTACGTTTAGTTCAGTAGAGATTGGCATTTTCAGGGGTGAATTAAATTAAATTAAATAAAAAATACAGTGGAAAACGTCCAGTATTACCACATAACATCACAAGGAAGAACAGAGAGTTTTCTGTTTGAGAGACGAGCTTAGCTTAAATATGCAGGGTTTGTGCATTAAACATGTGTGAATGAAACAAAACACAACTCCATTTATGATTATGACGAGGAAACAGCATTATAACATATCAGAAAACAGCGTAGTGAGTCCTTTTATCACTGTTTGACCCTTAAGTCTAGAACTTGCCCCCTCTAGTGGTCAAACTACACACCTGCCGTGCACTTTGACCTACATTTATTCAAATCTATTGCAGTATTTGTAATACTTTCCATATATGAGAGCATTTACAGTGTATAGATTATGCAAAGGGTCCCAGCTAAATAAATACATGTATTTTTGTCTTGTCTTACCTGGGCAGACTCTTCTGGTAGTGCATTGACGGCACAATACTCCTGTGCAGATAGTCAGAATGCTGGCTGCTGTATTTCCGTGCATTGATACTTATTGCTCTTGCGTGCATCAAACATCCACATTTCTCGATACAGCTAATGCTTTTCAATGAGAGCAATTTAGCCATGTTTTAAGATATCCTAATCAATTAATTTACCACAGAATAACGACTTAAAGGCGAGGAGATCCAGCCACAACAAGCCAACAGCCGCGTCCGGGATGTCAAGGTAAATAAATAGCCTGTGCTAGCAAATGATTAGCCACGAAGCGGTCTGACCTTCTTTAGCCGAACTTGTAAGCAAACCGTGGTGAATGTTAAACAAAATAGCACTTCTCGTAAAAATATGTGGTAGAAATACTCATAGCGCGTTGCATTTGGTGAAGATCACTGCGACATTTGAGCATTTAGAATAAAGTGTGTCCAGGAAGTAGAATCGATAAAATGTCACGTGACTTTATCTTACTTCTGGGAGTTGGAGTTCTGCTTGGCTCTATTAAAATAACCCTTGACCAGAGCTTTAAGTCATGTTACAATGTCGCAAGCTCATTAAATACACTCAGAGTTGTGTTTTGTTTCTTTTATACATGTTGGAGTAGTCCTGTATTATTAGTCTACATCTCCAAAGCTTTTTTTTTTTTTTTTTTTTTTTTTTTGAAAGTGGAATTTAAAAACATTTGTTTTGTATTTGTATTGTAATGCATGTACACAAAATAATATAATATAAACACATAGATTAGACTTTCAAAATCATACCATAGATGGAAAAAACAATAGAAACCTAAAATAAATAAATAGAATAAAATAAAGTAATTCAAACCTAATAGAGGGAACTGAACGATAGCTACATAAACAATATAGTTTTGGGAAGCATCAGTGATTGATATGGGGGAGGGGGAGGTAATCTAATTGTGAATTATATCATTGTATATATTGTTTTTTGATAAGGCTTTTTTGTAGGATAGGTGGTCAATGGATTGAAAGTAAGGGTTTATTTCGATTAACAGTAACTGAAAACAAGGTTTAGATTTGTAGAATTTTGCTCTGTGAATGGTATTTGCCAAGAAGTATGAATTTTTTAATTTCTACATTTTGATGTGTATAGTGAGTAATGATATTTTCTTCTTTGAGGGTTATTGGAACTTGTAAATACTGAGAAAGATAACTTCTAATTGTTTCCAGTAGATGGAGCAAACTAGGCATGAAAAAATTAGATGAGTAATATTTTCAGTGTGTGCCAGGCAGAAGTTGCATTTTGGGTCAATTTGAAGAAATCTAGATAAAAATGTGTTCATAGGGTAAAAAGTATGTAGGATCTTAAAGTCAGGTTCTTGTATTTTATTATATTTATTATTTATATTATTATATATTATATTGTATTTATTTTATTGATGATTGGGTATTGGAATGAGATTCTCCAAGTTTTATGGCACTGAATATCATGAAATTGTGTTTACTCATAAAATTTTCCTCTGGGTTGAATTACAATTCAAAAATTTTAATATTACAATTAAAAACAGTGGAGCACTTCCTGTAATACCACATGACATCACAAGGCGACAAGCAGATTAAACATGCAGGAATTGTTTGTTAGACATGTGTGAATGAAACAAAACACAACTCCATGTATGTTTGTGATGAGGAAACTAAACATTATAACACAGATCAGAAAATTGTGTAATGTGAGCCCTTTATGGACCTTTTGACCCCTAAGTCTAGAACAAACCAAACACCTTGGGCACTTCTCATTTCTCTTTCCTCACTTCGTTCTCCTTGGCTCCATCCGAAAATGGGCAAAACTACCTCCTTCCTTCTCATTATCGCCAACCTCTGAGAGCTACTTCATGAGGTCAGCTATAAGGACCGAGGAGGAGGAAGGAGCATTGAGGAGAAGGAGCTATTGCTGCTTTAGGTGGGTCCAGATCCTCCTAACCAGCAGCGGGAACAACAGTCAAAACTACAACTCCCAGAAAACGGACTACAACAAGCACACCATCTCCACTACTGCACTGAGTCTTGTGATAATTATTTAAACCTTTCAGTCTTTTCATAAATAAAATGACCGTACATGAGTGAAATCTGCATACATTTCTCTATAGTAGTTATGGTATATATGTTGTAAAATTTAGTTTATTTATACAGAAGATTTTAATTAATAATCTGCTCTAGTGTATAACTTGATCTCTGTGAAGTTGCCCCCCCCCATTAAACGCACACGTACACAAACACTATATCTATTGTTTGTGCTTCATTTGTGCTGGTTGTGCTGCAAAAAATTTGTTTGTGTTGCTTTAGTTTTGGGGATATCAGCGATTTTTTTAGAGGCCAAAATGGGGTCAGCCAGCCTTCCATCAATCTTAAAAATGCTCTAAAAGGCCAGAAATTGCATCAATCGTTTGTGCTTTGTTTGTGCTGCAAAAGATTTCGGGGAAATGATGAAAACTGAGGTATGGATGTTAATGCTAATTAGCTGAACATAACGGAATGCTACACTGACGTGGAGATGAGGAAAACTGGGCCATTTTCTTATTTTCCTAGATTTGTCAGACTTACTACCATGAACAGAGCCCACCGGAAGTTGTAATCGCATCTTTCCAGAATCAGAATATATATATTTCTGCCATTTTCAGTGAACAGAATTCACAAACTAGGACCTTGCTTTTGCATCATGGTGCAACATAATACAATGAATATTCATAATGTGAATTGAGTAATAAAAATAAGGGCATGCATAAATATATATATATATATATATATATATATATATATATATATATATATATATATATATATATATATATATATATATATATATATATGTTTGTATATAGACTTTGGGCTATATGATCTCGTACGAGGGCGACAGTAGCTTAGTTGGTACTTAACTTACCGACACTTACAGACCACGCCCTTAGTGTCTGCGTACACTGGTGTATGAGTGAGTGAGTGAGTGAATGAGTGAAGTGCTTTGAGAGCCTTGAAGGTGGAAATGAAACACAGCATATTTCTGAGTTTTCCCTGTCACCAGCAGAGGGCAGTAGCTTCTCACTATTATAACCTTGGCCTTAGATGACTCCTGAACATAAACACTGGGCTGCTGTTCACACCTTCACATAAACTATGACTGGACTAGACCAGAGCTATTTTAGACCAGGCTTATTTTAGAATAGTCTAATTAATAGCCTAGAGGTGTATACCACAATGGTTTGATACATATGACTGCAGGCCCACATAGTCTGTCTTGTTTTTATTACTGCAAACTTACTCAAATAAACACAGAGTCTCAGTTCAATACTTTTTTCTATTTAACTCAAAACTACTGTATGTAGTAGCCCCAAAGTTTTCCAAAATATGGTTTTGACTTCTCATAGTAGCCTGCACATGTTCTTCAGTCTTTGGTTTTTTTGTTTGTTTTTTGTGTGTGTGTTTATTACAGTGAAAAACATCCATCCAGGCTTGATTAATTCATTATAAATTAATCATTGGATTTATATAGTATCTTTCAAGACACCCAAAGTCCTCTACAGTTCATTGCTCATTCATTTCACACAGTGGTTTGCCACTATTGTAGCCATAGCTGTCCTGGAGCAGACTGACAGAAGCAAGGCTGCCTATCTGCACCATCAGTCCCTCAGACCACCACCATCACTCACATACTCTCCACTTACTTACTATGCAGTGCAGGTGAAGTGTCTTGCCTAAGGACACAACAACAGTTGTTTTTTTTTGCCACTGGCACCCCCCTGTGGCTCCTGGAATTCCCAGCAGTCTCCCATCTAAGTACTACCCAATCCCAGTCTTGCTTAGCTTTTGAGACCTGACGAGATCAGGCTTTGACAAGATGGTATGGTCACATACACCTCCACAAACTTGACTCTTATTTGGCTTGGAGGAGTTTTCATGGAAATGTTCTGTCTTTGGCTACAAACCTTCGCAATTTGACATAAAATTTTGAGAAGAAGACAGATTTATTTCCTAATTATGGTTTAAACTTTCTATGTCCATGGAATAAAACTGGTGATTTGCCACATCCAGAAAGTTGCACCCTTTATCTTAATCAGTGTTTTTGTTTTCTCTTTGCACAGTGGCTACACTGGCTGAGGTGTGAGAGTAATGCACCCGGACGTCTCTGTGTGCGCTCCCATAATGTCAGTGCTGAGCGGGGGTCTGTGCTGACGTGCTCTTCACGACACACGGTCCACTTGTGTCCACTCGGATCAGTGATGTCCACCTCCCTGCCTGACCTACATCTTCCCTCTGCTGTTGGTCACTCCCCTCTATCTCCTCTGTCCCCTCTGTCCAGTGTCCAGGCCTGCTGAGAGTGAGTGTGAGAGGCCAAAGATGCAAGAGTCCAAAGTACTCATCACCAGGATGCCACGGAGGAAAGAAGACAGTTTTTTAATCACGGTAGGTAGTTTATGATAAAGTTCGGTGAGACTCAGATTTTAGAAGCAATACATCTGTCTGTGCCAGTCCAGCCAGACAGTCCAGCACATAGCTGCAGAGTGTAAGATGCTGGCAGGGAAAGCATACATGGAACGACATAGCCAAGTGATGGCCATAGTGTACAAAAACATCTTTGCAGAGTATGGGCTGGAGACTCAAGGTCATCAAGGTGGGAAAAACCTCCAGAGGTTGTGGAGAATGACCGAGCCAAGATCCTGTGGGATTTCCACATATAAACTGACAGAATGGTGAAAGCAAACCATCCAGACATAGCCATGGTGGTGGACATCGCAATACCAAGCGATAGTAATATAAGGAAAAAGGAACACAAGAAAGTAGAGAAAAACTAGGGGCTCAAGGAGCTGAAGAAGGTCTGGAAGGACTAGAGGAAACTAGACTAGAGGAATGGTTACAGCAGGAAAATGACCAGATATCTCCTGGAAAGTGCAGTATGCTAGGAATGGCAAAAATATTGCGCAGGGTTGCCTTGTGTTCATTCAGGCCATGCTCTTATTTTTCAGGTCAGTCTCTGCCTTGTTCAGTGTGATGCTTATTCGGGCTTCGTACCCAATCTCTGGGTGGGGGAGTTGGCGTTAACTCCCCTCTGACCTGGCGTCCTGGGTCCCCCTTGCCATAGCATTAGTCTTGTTGTACCTCGTCAGTCTCCAGTTATGATAGCAGTTGCCATTTGTGGATGTTGGAACACTGAGCTACTAGTTGCTTGGCCAATAGCTTGCACTGTCAGTATCAAAGTAACCATTTCTCCCACATCCTTTCATGTAACCCCTCTGACTAGGGTTACTGAAGTAGGAGCATTCCAACAGAGCCTTGTTCTCGCATCCCGCCCATTTCCGCCTTGTTCCAGTAGCCCATTTTTCATCACAGTGCTCTGCTTCCCCAGCACCTGACACAGACCTTGTTTGGCTGGGCGACATCTGAGTAACTTACCTTATCTACTTTCTCAAAAAGACACATTTTTCAAATTCAAGTTATGTAAATTTGAA